CGGTTGAGCTTGATATCAGTTCAATCATCTTCCTACACAGCCGTTTGCCTTGTAACTGTACTTCCTCACATCGCACTACATCCAAGACCCTTCATGGGTTGTACTGGTACAGGTTTTTATAAATAGACAATAGAAGCTTCAGTGAGACATGTGAAGTAAATTCCTGATCAAATAGTACACTAAATAGGTAATAAATTTTACTGCATAATGTGTGATATAATCTATTACATTTTCTTTTTAATTATGATGATGGTGACAAATCTCTGGTATGTCAAACTTGATAAAGTGTAAAAAATACAATTAAAGGAAAATTATGAAAGTTTCATTTTTTTTCTCTATGATATTATTCACAGAAAGTTTTACTAGTGAATGGACTACCTAATATCTCAGCTAATAAGGCAACAGATAATAAATAACAAAAGAACAAGCTTACAGTCTTTAATATTTGTTTTAGAGAGAAATCGTCCAATAAAGCTACAGTTAATAGTATTTTAATCAGAGTATGGATCATATAACATCGGACTACAATTAATATTTAAAATATCAATAATAAGATTAATACTTCAATTAAATGGACCAATTTCTTCAGTTCCAGAAAACAGCTAGAAGACATTAATGATGCATTGAGAAGTTCCTAAGTTAGGTAAAAAAAATGTCATGATTACACAGGTGTTGGAAGAATTAGAAACTTGGGTGTATAAATTAACAACGAGAATACCATGGTTATCAATTTAAACAAAAAAAGGATTGTCAAACAAATGAATGCTGACACAAAGAAAAAGGGTTTTGTTATTATAAGAGTCTAGGACTGAATGCATATAGTTTTGAACAACACTTATTATGCCCTATACAATAGTAATGAATCATGCTCTATTAATTTCAAACCTAAAGCCAAGATGTATCAGCATCTTGAGGCCAACAAAAATAATTGAATGTAAAACTCAAACTTAAACGAAGATCCATATCTTAAGAGAATTCCTAATATATATATATATATATATATATATATATATATATATATAAATACAATGAAGTATAGTTTTATACTATAATTTATTTTCTATTCTATTAGTTTTGGTTAATTCAGTTGTTGGGTGATTTTCCTGAGGCATAAGCAGCTGTAAAAGTTTATATGAGTTGGGAGACACTTGTTTGATCAAGAATCAGTAATCTTTTACTTAATATTGTATTTATGACCCACCCTGAGTTATTTTGACACATACATCTAAATTGCATATATATATATATATATATATATATATAATTCAACAATATTCAACAATAATTGGTAAATGGTTGACTGTCGTGGATAATGAAGAGAAGAATAGTTGGGGTGGTCAGTCAAAAAAGAAGGCAAAAATAGATGATAATATTTATTTTTACATAAGCCGACGTTTCGACCTGAAGTTCAGGCCATCATCAGGGCTGACTGCTCCTAAGGTAAAGATGCAATAGTCAGCCCTGATGATGGCCTGAACTTCAGGTCAAAACGTCAGCTTATGTAAAAATAAATATTATCATTTATTTTTGCCTTCTTTTTTGACTGACCACCCCAACTATTCTTCTCTTCAATATTCAACAATATTAAATCAAATATTACTGATTCCTGATCAAACAAGCTTCTCCCATCCCATACAAACTTTTTACGGCTGCTTATGCCTTAGGGGAATCATCCAACAACTGAATTAACAAAAAAAGACATCAGACAAGATATCAGATTTTATTTTTGTTTCCATTGCCACTATTTTCAATACTGGTTGATCAAGATGTACAGCCAAACAGTTGGATCATTAAGTATAAATGGAGTATTGAACATTTATTGTGAGTATAGAAAGAACTCTTTTTCTTATTACATGGAATATCCTTGAGGTATTGAAGAAAACTCTTAAAATTCAGTTCAAAAATTAACCTATAGAAGTTAATTAGACAACTGTAATAAATTATTAGATAAACTTGACTGTAAATGGATAAAGCATACTCAAAAATGTGATGGATATAGGCATTACCTATTAAATTAAGTTATATTTGTAGTAACTACATATTTCTAACCATATTACAACAAAGTTAAAATTAAAGTGGTTAAGCAAGATATACAGAAACAGTATCGACTATTTCAATTTAAAAAAAAATAAGAAATAAGTTCTTAAGGTAATGATGAATAATTTAATTTCACAAATATTTTATGTTATATAAACAAATTTTCAAATAAACAAAAGTGAAATTATTGTATGCTCAACTATGAAAGTATAATATTTGAAATGAACAAGAAATGAAAATTCATCATACAATTTTTCGTAATATTGTACTCAATGTACATATGTACATATTTTATGTTATATGCCATATAGATCTTCATTAAACTGGTTATGATGAATTTTTACTAAAATATTTTACCATTCTTGTTTTGTTTTTTTTATATTAAGGGCCTAAAATTCTGTACTTGCTTCAAAACAGGTAATGTTGATAAAGTTAAATAGCTAAATATCTTCAGTTATCTATCTTTGTTAGCTAAATATCTTCAGTTATCTATCTTTGTTAGCTAAATATCTTTTAAAATCGATGCAGTATACCTACAACTAATTAGATAAATATTTCTTTAAAAGTAGTTATCATTTTAGGTATTTCATTCAGAAAAAATATATGTTCATGCCTTAATAGGACATTTTGTAGTGAAAATATTAATTAAAAAAATATTTCTATTATAGTGTGATACAAAATAACTAAAAAAGTCCTTACTCACCTTATATTAATTGTTAACTTAATTATTACCTATCACTAAAAAGAATAATATATTATTCACTATAAATAACAAAATTGATTTTACTGATTATTAGACAAATTAACATCTAAAAATAAAATCGGCGAAAATAGCCAGATTTTCAGAATTAAATGGAATTTCACTATAAAACAATTAAGAAAGGTAGTACCAACCTTAAAAAAAGATGGTTGTAGAAGTAATTGAGTACCAACCCCCTAATAATAAAGTAATTACTTTCAGCATGCTTATTGCTTACCTAATTTACTTTTCTTTTCACACCAATACAAAATAATTTATTATCATAAAACATGAAAAATCTGTGCATTATTTATTTATTTAATTTATGATTTATTCTTTGACGCAGAGGATCATTGACTTATTAAATAATCAATCGTAAATTTTGTTAAATAATTTCAATATTAAAAAAAAAACTACCAATTTCATCACAATATTTCTCTCAAAGGATTCCTTCAAGAATAGAACCAATTGTAGATTTTGTCAGGGCCGTCGTGTGGGCGGGGCGACCGAGACGGTGGCTCTGGAGCGCCGTGGGGGCGCCACAGATTGTGAACAAACCTTAAAGCAAATTTAAAGGGAACCCAATTTAAATAAGAGTCGACTAAGAAAGCACATGTAGTCAGAAAGTTTTTAGAACAAACATAAGCAAATAATAAATCGTTTCAATCTACAATACGTAAATAATAACACGAACTTTTGTCATAATTATCTCGGGAGCTTAACAAGAATATTTATTTATATTTTCCTAACTATACTAGGTAAGGAAAGTATTGCGATCGGAGCAAATTTCCTATGTTTTTTAATAAGAAAGTCAATTGTGAGTGAATTTCTGCGAAAAGTATTAGTTTATGTTGATTTCGTGAAAATCAGACAATCAGGCTTCTCACTACCCTTTATCCTATTTTAAGTGTTAAATTTATGAGGTGATTTTTCTAAAAGTGAATTATTTTTAAAAATTATTTTAAAATATATGACTTCAGATAATAAGAAAAGCTCTGGTCTAATATTACTAAAAATGCAGTAACATTGAGCAAACAGTAGTTCCACCACAATTCAAGGAGTGTGGATACCAGGATTTGCAAGAATTTGTTACAGACGAGTAGCAACTTTGGTGGAAAAGTTCCCTTTTTTAAGGAAATTTCATGGTAGGGAGGGGTTGGGGGAAATGGCACATACTAATCTAAGAGAATGTGATTCCCTATAAGCAGGGGTGCCCAGAAGGGAGTTTCGTGGGGCAAGTTGCGCTATCAAAATTTTTGAGAGTGGCACATTTTTACAGGGATTTGAATTTTAGGGGAGGAGGGAGGTGGCAAATTTCGACTGCGTCATGAATTTTTGTGATGAAAAGTGTCAAACCAAAAGACAAAAAGAAAAGTTGGAACAGTTCACAGCAAGTGCCATTGTATTTGATCTACGATGTTTTAAAACCTACTTTCGCTTGCACTGTTTAAGTAAAGGAGGGGAACAAAATATCTTGGGAGAGGAGAAAGAGGTTTATGCGCCATCGTCTTTGGGGGAGATGGACACATCTGCCTGTAAGTAAGCTAAATAGGAAGCTGCATAACTCTTCTCCTTTTCTTAATACTCCATTTTCATTTAGTGGAAGTGAGCAGGGAAATAGGTGTGAAATTCGGTAGCATGAGTAACACCCCATTCACATTATTCTTGCTCCTGTCTTATGCTTCCTTCGTTGGCAGTTGGCGGAAGTCAAAAGCCTGCCATCAAAGGCCGAAGGGAATATTTACTTTTTAACATACAGGAATTTTGCCGAGGCTTTTGGGAATCCACATCTAGAAATTAGGATTCAACAAGCTCGGTTATTATGGTCTGCATTAACAACTATCGAAATTAAATATAGTATAGTATAATTGTAATACGAATATTGATATTATTACGAGATGGGTAAACCTGTCTAATAAGACATCCATCATCCATAAGTATCTTTTGTGAGATTAATGATTTTTTGTCTATCTTTTATATATCATGAAATATGATACATATAAATCTTCAGTATAAGATATTTGTGATTTAAGGTCTACTCAAATAGTTGTCATAAAATAACGGAACCAACACGCTTCTGAAAGGATAAATATAGATAAAACAATATCTGGTTTAAAAACAGAAGGAAAAAGAAATTTGATGTTCATGTAACTAACGAACAAGGGTGTTTTGTACCACATCTGGAACTTCGACCTCTTTGGAACTCAATTGCCAAAGCGCTACCGCTAAAGGTAGTAAACAGTCTATGGCGATGGCTTGAATTTGTGACACTGTTGTGTTCCATAGTAGTTGATAATGTATTCCATTCAGCCCAATGAAATTACGAACCGAAAGATGCCTGCATTTTTGCAGAGCATCGAAGTTGAAAATTTTAAGTCTTATCGCGGTAAATTCACAATTGGACCACTTAAATCGTTCACTGCAGTTGTTGGTCCCAACGGTTCTGGTAAACAAACATCATATTTATTTTGTTAATTTGACACCTGAAAGCTTAAATATAAAGATTAATTTGTTTTTTTCTATTAGGTAAATCGAATTTTATGGATGCCATCAGTTTTGTTATGGGAGAGAAGACCTCTGCATTGAGAGTTAAAAGACTGAGTGATCTTATTCATGGTGCTTCTATTGGGAGACCTATTTCTAAAGTGTATGTTGTGCATAAGTGCAAATTATTTCATTGTGTGTCAGTGCTACTGTGACTTAAAATAAGTTTTGCTTATTTAAAGGATTATCGTTAACCATTTACTTTCATGTTTTATGTGGTATCTTATTGTGAATCTGATTGAATTGGTTTTATTCAATAGCTTAAATAATTGTAGATGTTTTGGGTTTAGAAATTTGTTATTTGAAAGAAATTTTCAGTTGTTATTTCATATCTTCTGTTTGTTTTTTTTACAATAATTCATCGATTACATATCATAATTAAACCATAATTGTCAGTGTCAACTTATCAAATGTATATTGTCAATTCATTATTAAATGATTTAAGAATAGGTGAAAAATTCCAAAATTAACTCCATGTTTTCCATTAGTTTAAAATGCCCCACTTTGACCTGTAGGATTTAAATTGTTTTGTTGATTATATTACAGAAGTTGATATTTTAAACATTAGAATTCTGTTTTAGCTATATATGGGCATTAACTGCTCTATTAATTTTGCCAATATAACTTTTCAAGTGTCATCCATTGTCGTGGGGATGGGGTGGTCAAGCGTGGGCATGGCATCGTGTTGCCTGGCAACCTGATAGAAGATAATTTGATAATATTACGGTTTTACTTCTTGGTGCCAGAGGGAGGAAAGTGTCTTTTATATCAATGATTAGATTAAAATTAATAAATACAAAATATTGTAATTTTTATTTGTTATCCCTGATGTTGACCCACATGTTTGGGTTGAAACGTTGACAAAACCTACTTAACAATTTCAGCATTCTACTATACATCCATCTCTTTAAGTATATGGTTTTGAATGCACAAGGGCTCATAAATGATTGCCTTCAGTAAAACTGACTTTATAACACAGCAACTATATTCATATTTTTTACTCATATCATGGATTTATTTTAGAGCTTCAGTGACTGCTGTATTTTTGATGGAAGATGGTGCTACCAAACGCTTTACAAGGACAGTTCAAGGTTCGTCTTCTGACTACAAGATTGACAGAGAAGTAATTGAAGTTTTTGTTATATTATTCTTATGTTCTATTTGTATCTTCTTTATTTAACCATTATCATTTTTAGCCTGTATCCACTCAAAAATATTTGGGTGACTTAGAACATATAGGCATCAACGTGAAAGCAAAAAACTTCCTTGTGTTTCAAGGAGCTGTTGAATCTATAGCAATGAAAAACCCAAAAGAATTAACTGCACTTTTTGAAGAAATCAGCGGGTAAAATTCTTAAAAGTATTATTAGTAATTTATTAATGAAAAACTATTTCTCTAATAATGGTTCTTTTAATACAGGTCTGGAGCACTAAAAGAAGAGTATGACCATGTTAAATCTGAAGTGTTAAAAGCTGAAGAAGAAACAAATTTCACTTACTTAAAAAAACGAGGTGTTGTCGCCGAAAGAAAAGAGGCGAAAATGGAAAAGGATGAAGCCGAAAAATATCAACGACTAAAGGATGAGTTGGTATGTCTCAAACATCAGCTTTGGTAATGAAATTTTTGATAGTTTTATATCTTTGTAATATAAACATTTATGTTCTCAGGTTGAAAAAGAAGTAGAATATCAATTGTTTAGGCTTTATCACAATGAAAATGACATCCAGTATTACGAAGGCGAGTTGGCTAAAAAGAAAAAAGATGTAGAAAAAGTTGAAAAAAAGAAGGAGCAGGCTGAAGAAGTGTTAAAGGAAAAAAAGAAAGAACAAGGAAAATCTAACAGGGAGCTAGCTAAAATTGACCAAGAAATTAGGGAAGTTGTAAGTGAAACAAATAAATAACTCAGTTTCCTCTTGTTTTTTTTAACGTTTGTTCAAAAGATTGATAATTGTTAAAAAGTTATATATCAATTTTTTTTTTTTTTTTTTTCTCTTTTTCTCGCCTCTACCCTAAAGGGTCATTGGCGTTTTCTATATAATTTAAACTCTGTTATAGTAGTTGATAATCCTTAAAAATTTAAACAGGATAGAGACTCTCTCTTCATTGTCTTTTAGTATTTCGTTTAGTGTTTTTTCTAGTTTTATTTTCTCTCTGAGCCTTTCGAATTGGGAACATTCTACTAGAAGGTGTTTCACAGTTTGCGATGTATTGTTACATTTTTCGCAAGTAGGAGCTTCTAGGCCTCTTAAAAGATAGCCATGAGTGAACTGGCAGTGCCCAATCCTTAGGCGGCACAGTATAATTTCTTCACGCCTGGACCTTCTGTTGCTAGTGAGCCATTTATCGCAAGTGGGTTTCACTTCTTTCAGCTTACAATCTTTGGTCCTCCACTCTTTTTCCCATTCTGCCAGTTGTTTTTTCTTTATTTCGTGCACCCAGTCTTCTAAAGTGATATATTTCACTCTAGTCACTTCCTCTTCTTCTGCTCCACTTCTTGCTAAATGGGCTGCATTGTCAGCTTTTTCATTCCCTAAAATTCCGCAATGAGCTCGTACCCATACCAAGACAACTGTTACTCCTTTATTTTTTACCTCCCACCAGGTGTTGAGAATTTCCCTAATTATGGAGTTTCTAGGATATGGGTTTTCAATGGCAGTTAAAACACTGTATGAGTCCGTCACAACTACCCAGTAGTTCTTTTCAGATTCGCTTATAAGATATAAGGCATTCATGATGGCAGTGGCCTCTCCTGTGAATACTGAACATTCTCCAGGTAATTTAAACAGTAAGTTGTTCTCTTTACTCGCTAAAGCACATCCTACGTTATCTCCTTCTTTGGATGCATCCGTATATATGAAATCGAAATTTTTGTATTGTTCCATTAACTTTAAAAAGGATTTTTGTATTTCGAGCGGATATGCCTTTGCAATTTTAGTCATGGATTTATTAATCAATGGTCTGTCTTTTTTCCAGCGCGGCATTTTTAATTCTGGGACGGGTCTTATAATATTCGTATCCATGTTTATTTTAGTTGTTGCCTTGTAAATCACCTGTTTAAAGAAGTTATTTTCTATATCTCTAAGTCCGTTTCTTTCTGATTCTTCTGAAAATAAATATGGAGTTAATGGGTGGTGGGAAGATGCTTTCAATTTGGCAATGTATTTTAGAGTCAGGTATTCTCGTCGCAAGTTTAAGGATGTTTCTCCAGATTCAGCATAGATGCTGTCGATTGGAGAAGTTCGAAACGCTCCAGTGCATATTCTAAGGGCTGAATTGTGTATGGAATCTAACATCCTCAATATTGTTTTGTTGGATGTATTATATATCTGTGCTCCATAGTCTATTTTGCTGCGTATTATAGACTGGTATATTTTTATTAGAGTGCATCTATCGGCACCCCAGCTTGAGTGTGAGAGACATTTAAGAATTCCGAGTCTTTTTGTGCATTCCTCCCTCAAATATGTGATATGTTGTATCCAATTCAGTCTCTTATCAACTATCATTCCTAGATATTTGTAACTTTCTGTATACTCAATTGAAGTACCCTCTATAAATATTTGTGGATTATTCTGCTGACACTTTCGACTTCTACAAATATGTAAACATTTAGACTTCGAAGAAGATATCTTAAATCCAGTTTCCCTTGTCCAATCTTTTACTCTATCCATCACTTCTTGCAGCCTCCACTGTATATAGGGAATAGATTTGCTTCTGGCTGTGATAACAATATCATCGGCAAATAGGAAACATTTGGTCGGGGTCTTGATAATGGACCCTATACTATTAATCGCAAGAAGGAATAGGGTCGAACTAAGAGGAGATCCTTGTGGGGTACCCCTTTGCAAGCGATGGCTTGACGACAAAGTATTTCCTACCCTTACCGAAAATTCCCTATTGGTTAGAAAATTTTTGATATAAGACCACATATTTCCTCCTATTCCTACTTCCTCCAAAATCTTCAACACACGTCCTCTTTCCATTGTGTCATAAGCTTTTTCAAGGTCCAGAAATATTGATATTAAGTGTTCTCCGTGTGAAAAAGCTTCCTGCGCTTCTAAGCTTAATGATAAAAGAGAATCAATAGTTGAACGATTTGGCCTAAAGCCAAATTGGTATGGATAAAGGACATTCTTACATTCCAGCATACTAGTCAATCTTATATTGACCATCCTTTCTTGAATTTTGGAAACGCATGAGATAAGGGAAATGGGTCGATAGTCTTTGGGAACGGTGCTCTTTTCTTTTTTTGGTATCGGTACTATGACAGATTTCCTCCACTTAGTTGGAAATGTTCTGCTTGTCCAGATTTCGTTGTATATATTTAAAAGATATATTTTTCCTGTTTCTGGTAGCTGCTTTATGAATTCTCCTGGAATTTCATCGAGACCAGGAGCTGATTTTCCTTTGCACTCGTTAAGCGAAGAATTTAGTTCATCTAGTCGAAAGGGTCTATTGTATTCATCAGACTGACTCTGCCCTTCTCTGAAATATTTTCCAAAGGCTTCAGCAATGTCTTGTGGATCCGTTATGATGTGTTCATCAATATTAAGTCCTGAAATTAAGTTTTGCCTCCTAATTCCTCTGATGGCCCTGACCTTGTTCCATATCTCATTCGTCGGGGTATGGTAGTTTATGGAAGAAACATATTGTTTCCACGATGCTCTCTTGCTTTCTTTTATTATTCTGTTTGCAATAGATCTCAGTCTCTTGAACTCGATTGCATTTTCAACAGTTCTACTTCTCCTGTATCGATTTAGGGCTCGTTTCTTTGCTTTTATAGCTTCATTGCAATTGTGATTCCACCACGGTACATCATGATGTTTCATATTATTTTTGACAGTAGGAATAGTTTCTTTTGCTGTGTTAATAATTAACTCGTTAAAATAAAATATTTTTTATTCTAAATTCTGTCCATATGGTATGGTTCGTAAACCTTGGATAATCGATTTTTTATAACCTTCCCAATCTGTTTTTTCATATTTCCATCTGGTGTTCGATGGCATATTAATACTGTTTCCCCATGTTTCAATTACAATTGGGAAGTGATCGCTTCCGTACAAATGGCTTTTAGTACTCCAATTTTTTACTTTAGGCGAGTATCTTGCATCAGAGAAACTTAAATCTATTGCTGAGAAAATATTATTTTTTGAGCTAAAGTGAGTGTTATCCCCTGAGTTTAGAAGTACTGTTGAAGTGTTATCTTCGAGGAATTTTATGATATTTCTACCTCGGTGATTATAATCTGGAAGCTTCGAACCCCATAAGGTGTTGTGGGCATTGAAGTCTCCTAGCATTAGAAAAGGTCTTGGAAGTTGGTTTACAATGCTCTCTATGTCTGTATTTGTGAATTCCTGTAAAGATGGTAAGTATATATTGCAGATTGTCAAAGGTTCGTTTAAGTATATCTTGACAGCTTGTGCTTCAAACTGAGTTTGTAGTGGTATTTCTTCGCAATAGATGTTCTCTAAGACAAACATAGCTACTCCTCCCCACGTTCTTTCAGACAGTCTATCTTTTCTGAATATTTTGTATTTTCGTAATTTTACTATTTGCTTATCGTTAAGGTGTGTTTCTTGTAAGCAACAACAAATCGGATTTTCTTCAGTCATTAGTTTTGTAAAGTATTCAATGTGTCGGTAGTAACCGTTACAATTCCATTGAATCGTTTTTACCATGTTTCAGTTTTTCTTTTTTAAAAACTCTGTTACCTGTTGATATCTTTGAAAATTTCTCACCTGGTGTGATCTCGGTGAGGTGATTTCCGTTCAGTAGTTTCAAAATTTTTGTTGACCATATTTTTATGCCTCTATGATCTACTAATCCTTTAATGTCTGTTAGCATCCTAATTAACCCTTCTTTGTCCTTTGTGAATTGTTTTATCAAATCAGGTGTGTTTTATGACAATTTTTCTATCTGAATTGTTTCGTATAATAAGCAGATTTCTTTAAATTGATATATATAAAACATATATCAATTATGTGTGCTATATCCCCACACATTGCTTTCCTTATAATTTCAGGAGAGAGTGTATTATAACAATTGCTCATTAATATTTGCCGGATTTGTTAAGTATGAAATTTAATTACTTTTCAAATAAGTATATATATTGTCAACAAAAAATAATTGTACTTTTTGAGTTATTTTCAAACAAAAACTTTGTTTACTTCATTAATTATTTTCCAGATTTTTATTTGGAAAGTATCATTTATTAATAAATTTTGAGCAATTTAAGAAGACTTTTCATAAGTTTCATCAAAATCATAAGAACCGTTTTTGCACCATAATTAGTATTAAAATGCACCATTGTTTTACTACACTATTACTATAATTTAAATAGTGCTTAATTTGGTACACGACCAGGGCAAGACTGAAACTCTGCAAAATAAATTAAAACGATCTACTCAGTTATACACTGTCCTTACCTTGAAGCAGTAAAAAAGTAATTTTTTTCCTCCTAAGACCTTACTGTAAAATGGTCATGATATGTGTTTATGAAATTTCTAATTGGCTAGGTGATGGGAGTTTCAATTTCTGATAACCATCCTCGAATGAGCTCTGGGTGTAGCCAATCTAAAAAAAATTGTCAGTAGTCTTGGAGACAATATAACCAACAAACTATTTTATTCTTGTCGTTATAATATGTAAAACATCAAATTTTGATGTAGTGGAGGAAGATTATAACTTATTTTTCTTAGCGGATTGCTAAAATTCGTTATTGAAAATAATGTACCTAAGTAATTTTTGTTTGGTTAAATAAAACTTTAATTATCCAGCTATCTTAAATTATAACATTTAAAATTAATGATCTCGTGAAAAGTATTATAAGATACATGAAACTATTTCTCACATTAATTCATACTTGTATCTTATATTTACAACTTTGAGTTATTATCATTAATATTTTTTAATAATGAAAGTCATCTGTTAGAGCTACTTTCCATGGAAGGTAGGACAGATAACAAAATGTATTTGATGACAGCATTCATCTTTGATAGATAGTATATCTATTTGAGAGAGAATGTGAGGGAGGCACATTCTGACGAGGTTTTGAATTTTTGAGGGGGTCACATTTCGACGGGGTTATGATTTTTTGAGCAAAAAGTTTCAATCTAGAAAAGGAGAAAAAAAGAACTATCGTAGCATATTATTGTATCATAACATAACCTAGCTTATTAGAGGTAAATCAATGTAACATTATAGTTATCATACATCAATAACTACTCATATTTTTAAGCAGTCAACAATAATCCATCTCTAAATTATCAAAATATTTATTTGATTATGAATAGTGTATAATTCCCATCTTAACACTGTATTTTTTCTAATATTTTTTTTATATCCATTAAATTTTTTTTTAGGAAGCAGAGGTTAATAAGAAAAGGCCATCATTCATTAAGAGTAAAGAGAGAACAACACATTTACAGAAAAAGTTAAACACTGCTAAAAAATCTCTAGCTGAAGTAAAGACAGCCGCTGAAGCACATGCTGAAGATACCAGGCTACTTGAGGAAGAGCTTGCTGAAGTAAATAGGAAGAGAGAAGAGTATGAATCAAACGAGAAGGATGCTTCTCAAAGTCAAGGCAGGGATATCCAGTTGGAAGAAAACCAGGTAAAGAAAATTACCTCATTTTCCTCTTTATAAATTAATTGAAGCACTTTTCTTAGAATATTACTATAAATGTAATCAATCAGAACTTCCATAGTTTATCAAATATCAGTTATAAATGAAGTGATTGCTGCTCTCTGGGCTGTTATGCACACAGATTTCAGACAGTTGTGAGTTAGCCCTAAGAAGAAAAACTTAATGGAATAGACTGCAAATATTAATAATTTGGACTTCATCATTCCTTGTTGGTTCAAATTCAAGGAGGCTGTGGTGGCTGATAGTGTTAAGGCATCAAAACCTTAGCAACCCTTTGCAATACCAGTTCAAATAAGGCCTGGATGGTTTGATATTTAGCAGACACATGGATTTGGTTAGAATAAGTTGGTTATTGCTGTAGAACAAATTCATCAGTTTTACATACTAACATTGATATATTTATTAGAAAATTGTGATTTTCTTAAAATAAAATTGCTAATTAATCATGATGAATAGAAGAATTGGAGTTCTCCGTATTTTTTATTTAAAAGTATTTAATAATTTCATTTTATGTAATATAACTAGAGACCAGATTTTCATGTTATTGCACATTTTGTTCACTCAGCTGTAAAAACTCCAAACCTGACAATCTATCCATTTCATGATCTGTAGAATAACATATTGAAATTTCATTTCCATGTTTTGTCCTCTTTTGTTTTAATTGCACATTTTTAGTTTTTGTTGCATGATCAGGGGTACACAGAAGGGGGATTAATGGCACAAGTTGTGCCATCAAAATTGTTAAGGGAGGCACATTCTGACGGGGTTTTGAATTTTTGAGGGGTCCACATTTTGACGGGTCATAATTTTTTGGAGCGAAAAGTTTCAATCTTGAGAAGGAGGGGAAAAGCATGGAGCAGACCACTGCAAATGTGTATATGATCTGCGGTTTGTCTGATTCTACTTTTGCTTGATCTGTTTTTAAGAAGAGGGGAGCAATAAAATTGCTTGGGAGGGAGGAGAGTTTATGCGCCATCGACCTTGGGGGAGATGGGAACCTCTATACATGAGATTGCTCATTTTACAATTCAAGGGTTAAATTTCATTTAACAGTATAAATTACACATCTACATATTATCCTATTCTACATATTACAAATTATACATACATATTATAATCTTTATTTACATTTATTTTTTATTATATTAGGTTTGTAGTTAAAAATAGCAGTGTCCAATCCATGGACGGCATAAGGCTGGAAATAGTTTTTAATTTTTTGTTCCCAATTTTTTTTTATTCAAAATAACATTTTCCTGTGCTCTTTCTGGGATCAAAAGATATTTTAGACCCGTATTGTTTGATATAGGTAACAAAATTACTATCTAAGTACACACATTTTATTGTAGAAACAATAGTATAATTGGGGCTAACATGGTTAATAATTTAATTTAATGCAAGTGAAAGTAACGGTTCACATTTCCATTTGTGGAATTATGATTTATGAATTGTTATTTGTTTATTAATTAATTAATGAGATTTTTTATTTATAGGTTCAAGAATATCATCAGCTTAAGATTGAAGCTCAGAAAAAATCAGCTCAGTATCTGCAAGATTTAGATTCTATTAACCGTGAACAGAAGGCTGAGCAAGATGAATTAGATAATGAAGTTAGATTGATGGTTCAGTTAGAGAGTCAAATCAAGCAAAAAACCCATGAAAAGGAAGAAGCCCAAAAACGAGTTGATAAACTCACTGATCATATAAGGTTGATTTGCTAACTATTTATGTAAAGTTGTTGTAGTATATTTTAAATTTTAGTATCAATTTTTTCTCCCAATTAAGATCTTTATAATTCAATAAAGCAAAATTATAATTTGAAATTTAGAAATGTTTAATAATTGGTCTCTTTGTTTTGTTTTTAATATTTAAACTAAAATGTTTTAAATCCTAATTATTATTTTACAGGAGTAGTGAACAGTCATTAGAAGAACAAAAAAAGCTTCAACAAGACTTGCAAAGCGATGTGGGAACCTCTAAAGACAAGGTTAAGGAATTACAGGCAGAGTTAGAATCAATTATGGAACAACTGGGAGATGCACGAGTCGACAAGCATGAAGATTCAAGGAGGAAAAAGAAGCAAGAAATTGTAGAGAACTTCAAAAAAAATTTCCCTAAAGGAGTCGTAAGCTAATTTTATTATTTTTTATTTTTAAAAAACTAGCTTGTAATACAGTGCAATCTCAGTAATCCAAACTATGTGCTAAAGAGGATATTCAGATTAAGGAAAAATTTGTATTATAGTAGGTCTTTGATTAAACTATTGTACATAAAAGTTAATTAACTGGATATCTGGAGGTTTGATTGAATTTGTATGTATAAAAGTCTTTTTTTAAATTACTCAGTTATGTTTTGGCTAATGGAGATCCTGCCTTACTGCTTTTTCCATTAGAAGTTGTAGGATTTGTTGCCAGGGATATACATTGCTGTTGCCCATCATATAGTGAATGATACAAAAAAAAAAATCTCTTATAATAACCAAAGAAAGTGTGCATTTTTGGGGCCTCAGATACCCAGCTACGAGGACCATAAACGATGGAATGATGGTGGGTATTCTGAGGTACGCCTCTCCTGTGTGGTCTCAGAATCTCTCGCACCGTCAGAAACGCAGATTGGCGACTAAATCATACCGAATGTCACTAAATCATACCGAAGTGTGTCTCACGAGGCGGTGTAGATCTTAGCAGGAGGTGTAACTCTCGACCTTCTCCTGCGAGAAGACTCGCTGATATTTAAGTTAAAAAGAGAAGGCTCAGCAAGTCTTCTGGAGAATATCCGGGTGAGGATTGCAGAAGACCCAAGAAAATGGAAGAGGATTATCTGGGAGGATACCACAGATGAGTGGAATCAGCGGGGGTAACTACCTTGAAAGGAGCAACTTTAAGAAAATATTTCCCCACCATTCGAAGTCGCTTGAAAGCGAAGTGGGTTCTCCCGGACTATTGGATCTCTCAATTCCTTACTGGGCATGGGGGTTTCCGCTCTAAGTTACATAGTTTTGGAAAAGACATACGACTCTATGACCCACTTGCAGAGTACCGGAGACGGCTGAGCACGTCATTGTCAACTGCACCACCTTTGATGGGCTAAGGGCCGAAATGATGAGAAAAATTGGAGTCTATGGTCTCATGGAGGATGCATTTCCCCAGTTAGTGATGGAGCAGAACTACCCGTACTACAAAGATTTTGTGTGCGGTTGGGAAGCTGCTCTGGGCCCTTCCCACTTTAACCTGGGAAGAAGAGGACCTGCTAATAAGACGGCCGCCAGGCTAATATGGTGAAAATAATGAAAAAAGAAGAGATTTGAAAAAAAAAATTGACAATTAATTTGTGGTTCATTAGCAGGAATGGCATGCAAGTGTGTGATATGCCATCCCTGCAAAATCCCGTGTAGCCAAAAGGCAAGGAAGGGATGCATAAATAAGTAAATAAGGCACAAGAAAGAGCAAAAAAATTACTCAAAATTCACTTAGTTAGGGAGTTGTCTTCAGATTTGTTTCTGAATGAAACTTTCCTTCTACCTATCTTTTTTTTTGTCTTCCAGTTCACACTACCAAAGTTCGGATTAATGAAATTGCACTCTGTAATATTTTATGGTCTTATTTAAATTACAAATGATTTTATATAATTATATTTATAAAAGTTGAAATAATAGCTGTAGCCTGTTTTTTTTTTTTTATATGTATTTCATTATAAAAAACATTTTATTTTTTCAGTATGATCGTATGATCAATATGTGTCATCCACAGCATAAGAAATTTAATGTGGCTGTAACAAAAGTATTGGGTAAATATATGGAAGCTATAGTAGTTGATACTGAGAAAACAGCTAGACAATGCATTCAATATTTGAAAGAAAATCTTCTAGATCCAGAGACATTTCTACCTCTCGATTACATACAGACAAAACCACTTAAGGAAAGATTGAGGTAAAGTTAAATTTCATTTTAGTTTCCTATGTCTTATTCTCCTTCAGCCTTTTGAAAGTGTTTTAATATTTCCATTAACTACAAATGTAATTAATAAACCTAAAAAGTTAAAATGAATGATCTGTTTTTACAGGGCCATCAAAGATCCCAAAAACACTAGGTTGTTGTATGACATATTGAACTTCCATCCTCCTGACATTAAACAGGCAGTATTGTTTGCTACGAATAATGCTCTAGTCTGTGACACTCCTGAGGATGCGATGCGAGCTGCTTATGAAATTGATTCCAACAGATATGATGTAATTATTTATTTTCCTTATTGCTCTTTTTGACATGTTTAATACAAGAAAACAATTTTAATCTTTCTGTTAATTTTTTTAAGGCGGTTGCATTGGATGGAACATTCTATCAGAAATCAGGTATCATGTCAGGAGGTAGCTTGGATTTAGCAAGAAAAGCTAAAAGGTGGGATGAAAAGCAAATGTCACAGTTAAAATCTAAGAAGGTAATATTTATTTAAGATATTATATGTTTTATTTATTTAATATTTTAATTTGTTTTTCTGTTTATATTAATATATATTTTACTATTTTAAGGAAAAATTAACCGATGATCTCAGAGAAGCAGTGAAGAAGTCGAGAAAAGAGTCTGAATTAAACACTGTGGAATCGCAGATTCGAGGATTAGAAACGAGAATCAGATATGCAAAATCTGATAAGGACAAAACTGTAATTATGTTATTTATTATTAATACTTTTTTAATATTGTGACATGATTGATGATATTATTCACATCCATTATTCAATCTTATCTTGTGCACTCAAATTCCCAAGATATTTTTTAAATACTAAAATTTTCATTTGTGTTATTTTACAGTTAAAACAAATTGCTGATCTTGAAAAAGAGTTGAAAGTTTTGGAGCAGCGTTATGAAGATAGTGGTGTAAGTTGTTTTATTTTTCAGATTTGTTTTAACATATGATCAAATCACAAAAATTAAAAAAGAACTCATGTTTTTTTAAAAAAGACTACTTACATCGAATAGCTCAATATTATTATTATTGGGGTCTTTTGACTGAATGGTTTACTTACTGTTTTTTTTTTTTTTACTCACTTTTCATTATGAATCAAAGATGTGTAATTACCATTTGGTTCATTTTCCGTCATTTTACATCAATATACGTGATCGTCATTGTAAATTTCTATAATTTAGCCAATTTTTGTAGTTTTCTTTAAAATTCCCTTTCTTTTGACTTCTCATATAATTAATTCATCCCTCTTTAGAACTATAAAAGGGATCTATACTACCATACTATTAATTATAAATAGATAATTGTTAAAAATATTACATCATTGATAAGGCTACATCACATTACATCTTTGAATAATTTTTTAAATGGGACATTTTTACTGTCATAATTCAAACTATTATGTTGTTAAACAATGTTTGATTAAGTTAATTGTTTAAATATTTCTGAAATTATAGCCTAGAAGAGAAAAGATAGAAAAATCTATGGCAGAAAGAGACATACGTATCCAGGATATGAAGGAAAGGATGAATAGCGTTGAAGATGTTGTTTTCAAGGATTTTTGTACCAGGATTGGGATGGCAAACATCCGTCAATATGAGGAGAGAGAACTAAGGTTATATAATATTTGTTAATTTTATTTTGAATGAACCATCATTATGTTAATTTTAAATCATTTGAATATTTGTAATTTATATTGTGACATTATTTTTTATATGTTTATAGATCTCAGCAAGAAAGAATGAAAAAGAGAATGGAATTCGAAAACCAAAAAAATCGAATTGTAAATCAGCTGGAGTTTGAAAAATCTAAAGACAAAAAAATAAGAGGTGTTTTATTTTAAAATATATGTGTAGTTATTGTTAGTAATTATTATTATATTTTAAATATTTACTTATATATTTGGTTGTAAAATATTTTCTGAGACAACAATTTTTTAGTAAATACATCCTATTACTTGATTGTAATGAGTTCTGATAGTCTGAAATTATGATATGTTCTATATAGATACAAAAGAACTAAGGTTAGAATAAAATGATATTTAGTAATACATTAAAGTATATTTCTTAAAAATTTGGGATTTAAATGACGTATTATTAGTGTTAAAAAATATATAAAATGTAATAGAACTTTTTAATGTTCATACTGAAACAGATGTTTCGGATAAAGAACGTTATTTAAACTGAATATAAAAGTGGAAGAAGGGGATTAAAACTATATATGTTGCATGTTAGCAATTACCAAGAATTATTTACTAAATATTCGTAGGTTGAATAAGTTCATGTTAGCTGAAAATTTCGCTTTACCATTGACCATAATTGTTCGCGATTCATGTTAACTAGAGATTTATTAAAAAATATGATAGAAAATGCATTTTTCACAGGACTAAGAAATCAGTTCATATTAGAGGGTTCATACTAACCGAGTTCATGATAACAAGATATAACTTTATTTGACTTATTTAAAAGTATCTATTATTTGAAGTTCTATTTTTTAATTTCTCTTTAATTACAGATATAAAAGAGATATTTATATTATTGTAGTTTATTTTATAAATCAAATATTATTATATTTATTTGTCAATCAGGAAGAAAAAGTGGGGAGTTTCTAAGATATACCAATGTCACCTACAATATTTATTGTATTATTATTTTAGGAAAAGTAGTAATCATATTTTTACTGACGTTATTAACTTTTTCTGTAACTGATCTTTTGTTGTTCTGAAATAAATTAATTTTATTAACAGATAATGTAATAAGATGGGAAACAGCTGTAAAGGATGATGAGGAAGAGCTTAATATTGCTCGAATGGCCGAGCAGAAACAACAGTTGGATCTGGAAAAACATATGAAACAAATTGAAGAATTGAAATCTAAACGTTTGTTGCATAAGCAGGAGGCTGACAAGATGGAAGATGCCATTGGAAAAGTAACATGCATATATTTTTAATTAATGTAGTAAAAAGATAGTTAGATTAAGTGCAAGAATTTATTAATTTTGTCAAATATTATATGCTTGAATCAAGGCTAATCCATTTCATTAAAAGAGAAAACAAATTATTAAATTTAGATGGTTTGCTTGAAAAGTTGAAATGTTATGATTAATTATCTTTTCCAACTATAAAGAATACAGTTACTTAGACACATTTATTCTAAACATTTAATTTTTAAAATATGTCCAGTTTAACGATCTTCTGATTTTTTTATATTTGCCTGAAAAATGATATGCCATTGTCTTTTGCTAGTCTAGTACAAGTTGTGTTTTTTATTTTATTCATTAAGAAATTTGAGTTTTGACCATTTTCTAGCGTGTAGCTCTGATTCAAAAATTAATACAGCTATAAGAGCTTAAAAATTGTATACCAAAATTAGCAATTTTTCTGGTCGGTTCTTTTAAGATTACAATACCATAATGATATATTTTTTTTTTGCATATATCATATATTGTTTACATTAATTTCAGAATATGTGTTGTTTTTTAAAATAAAAATTGATCAGTAGAGAAAACTTAAATTTTTTTTTGTAAGATAAATCTTATAATAATCATTTGTAATGGCTGTTGATTAGGTGATAAGAGATCAATTTTTATTTTCATTGTTCTGTCCAGATAGTGTAAATTAACCGAGGATGTTATTCTCATTAATTTACTGTGAGTGTCACTATAATAATTATTATTCTCAACACTAATTGATAAATTCTCTCAGGCCAGAAGAGAAGTTGGATCTATTGCTAAAGATATTCAAACCGCACAAAAATCAGTCACGAATATTGAATCAAAACTAGAAATGAAGAAACTAGAAAGACACAGTATTTTAATGCATTGCAAGGTGAGTCTGAAATAAATGTTATTTCCTGGCAATAAAATATGTACCTTATTATCTTTAAATTACATAGTAACCTAGAGGGAGTGGGGTTGCTCAGTGGGTAAGGTGCTGAGTTCCCAACTTCCAAGAGTCTGGGCTTGAAAATAAATATTAGCATTTATTTTATTAGATAGATTAATTTTGTTATATCAGGCACATATCAACTCTGGTTTAGATGAAACCTTCTGGGGCACACTCTCTACTGTTCTACCTACATATGGCTTAAATGATTCCTTTATTTTTCATTTTTAGATGGAGGACATATCCATCCCCATGTTAAAAGGAAATATGGAAGATATTGGCCAAGAGTCCACAGCTAATGACTCGAATGCTGACTCTAGTGTGGGTGGTTCTCAACAAATCCATGATAGAGAAAGCAGGTATTTTATTTAACATATTTCTTAGTATATATTAGTTGATGTATCATTCTGTGTTCTGAAGCGGAAGATTAACTTGACCATATTTTTACCCCCCGAATGCTGTGGAATAGTCTCGTAACATAATTTAGAATCTATAATGCACTGGCCTGCCCATTATTAACGTATGTCTCAGAAATGTGGACAATGACTACATTTGTTGCATTATCCTGAGATTTGGGGAGAAAATTTTCTGCAGAATATACTGACCAATGTGTATAAACTAAGCCTGGCATAGAAGGACGAATAATAAGCTCAAAACTATTTTTATGTACATGAAGAGATAGTCCAAGTCATTAAATTAGGCAGATTATGATGGGCCAATCACTTCATTAGGATGAAGCGAGAAGAAATCCCGCAAAAGGTAATGAGTGAGCAGATTTATGGAACTAGGAGAGTTGGTCCATAACTTAGATGGGAGTATTCAGCGGCTACTTAGGGTATAGAGTCAAATAATAATATTCATCCAATGGTGCTATGGTTCTTGCAGTCCTTGTCCTCCTCTATTATCTTAAGGAAGTTGATAAAATTTAAACATTTTTGTCAGCATGTCTTCCTCGATCTAAATTGCGATTTATGCTAATACTTGTTTATTTATGTTTATTCAGATTTGGGTTTTAATCGATTGAAAATTTATTCGACCAAAAAAAAAAAGTTAATTTTTAACAGTGAATAAATATTTTTTTAAAAACTTACATTAAATCTATAATTTATTATGTTCTTAGTAAAACCCTTATTTCTTCTTACAATCCTTTATTTTCATTTAATACATTATTGTATACATATAAAATTTTTCTTTTTTATATAACGTTTCGGCCTTTTCAAATTTATTAATTGCACATTTTTATACCACTTATCCACATTTATATAATTTTCACTCGTAAAATTTATCCAGACATAATGAAGTATTTTTTTTTGTCAGTCAAAAAGTTATTTGTTGCTGGCTATGCTATACTTTTTTACTATAGCTTTTTTTACACACAAAACAAGAAAGAAAAGTTTAGTGTTGTAATGTAGAAAAATATAATAATTTAAATTTAAAAATATAATTTCTATTATTTTTAATATTATGCTTAATTCATGAAATGGTAGATTGAATTATATTTTTACTTTCATTTATCTATATATGTAATATATTGTAAAGGAAAATATTACGATCTTGAAAATTTTCGAATCTGAGTTTTCGGAAATACGCGTTTTAAGGTCTCCTGAGTCCAAATAACTAAGTCGTCCCACAAAATTGTCTGAGTGTGATTGAACTGTCTAGCTCAAAAATGAAAAGTCGTACAAAACGGAAATTGCGGATTTAAGGTTTGATTATGGCCAGGTGTTACAGCAACGTTTTTGCTAAAATCAGCTAACTGGAAGTGCCACTCAATATCGATTTTTGACATTTTTATGATTTTCTCGAAAACAACTCCAACAATTTTAGTTAAATTCATTACATCAGTAAAAAATTAAACTTAATTGATCTCATTAAGCAAGATCTCACTGATGTTCTCTATTAGAGCTTAAATGCCTAATTTTCAAAATTTCTTCCTCCAAAGTACCTTTAATTTTTTTTATTTGGAATAATTAATCTAATATGAAATATGAAGGAATTCGATAATTATCTAAATGAGAAGTAACGTAATATAATTTGTTATTGATAGAGAATAGATGAAACCCAAGCCTGCCCTAAGATTAGAACAGGCTTTAATACATTGGCATATACGGTTTTCATAAATCCTAACATTGATATTATTTAATATTTATTGTATAGATTACAGCAATATAAACATTTAAAAAAATATATATATATACCAATCTTTAAATAAGTAAAAATATCTACAATGAAATGTACATAAATTTAGCGTCCTTCATAATCAGTGGCAGTCATTTTGGACTATAAATATTTCGTGGCACTTGATTATTTATTATTATAAACAAAATAATTAAAGCATACGATTTTTAAAGGCATTGATTAGTGAAAAAAAAAAACAAGTATTAGACGGCTGTGGAAAGCATATGGTGATTGATTGTTGTACAAAAAATATTTTGTACTGTCTGTGATTTTTATTTTTTCTTAATTTTTTATGCAAATACCTATTTCTCCTAAAAGAAGCGTGGTAAGTGAAAATTGTGCGTTGCCCGCACCATACCAGATTTTTAACGTTAAATAGATATTAATTAAATTTTAGAAAATAAAAAAACTTAAACTTTTCAAAAATTAAAAACCTCCTAAAGAAAAACCCTTATCCATCATAAGAGCCGAATTTTATTGCATATTTACTTGATGAATTTGGCTGTTAGAGCAAAAAAAAAGAAAATTGTTTTGAATTATAACATATGTTCTATTCAGACATTAATTCGTATATAAACGACTAAATTTTTAGTCATTTGAAGTGACTTTAAAAAAACAATGTTTTTTCCATTATTCATTAGTTGTTAATACTTTTTGTGAATAAAAATTTAGTCGTCATTTGTTAATCGAATAATTTTTGCCCAATTGTATATTTAATGTGATAAAATTTGTTGTAATTATAATTTCCTTTATATTTATTATTTAAAAACAAGCTTTCTGTGGCAAATTTTTAAAATATTGATTCCTTAAGCACTTAATTTTTGCAACTAAACTAGAATTGCTATTTTTTAGAATTGTTGTTGACTATTCTGGACTTTCTGATAATTTGAAAGACATTGATGACGATGATGTCAAGAAAGTTGGTGATAAGTTGGCCAAAGTTATCAACGATCAAAATTCTATGTTACAAAAGATTCAAGCACCTAACATGAAGGTAGGTTTCTGGTTGGTGAATTATTTTCTTAACTATACTGGTATTTGTTTTGTTTTTTTAATATAAATCATAAAAAGTTTTAACAAAAGAAGGGTGGTGTAAACCACATATAAGATTTTTCTAAAGTCATTTATATTAGTTATTTTTGTTTTAAACTATTATACTTTGAGAGTTAAAATTACTATTGTAAAGTATATTAATATTAAAGAGCCAACAATTACTTAATTTTTTGTTTATTAATTATTTCAGGCGATTGAAAAACTTGAATTGGCCCGTGGAAAACTTGCAGTTACAAATGAAGAATTTGAAGCAGCTAGAAGAAGAGCGAAAAAGGCCAAAACTAATTTTGAAAGAATTAAAAAGGAGCGATATGACAAATTTACTGAATGTTTTGAACATGTCTCAAATAATATTGATAATATTTACAAAGTAGGTTCTACATTTTAATCAAATTTAATTAAGTAATCACGTTGCTTATTTTAAGCGTTGTATTTTTTTTCTAATTTTCTATCTGATGAGTCAACTCTTAACTCTCTGACTTGAGCTTATGTGGGTATTTCTCCTACACACATCAGCACCATAGAATGACAGTGATGAAATGAGAAGTTTGATTTTGTGAAAGACCTGCACTGACCTATTATATTTTAAAAATCTGGTGCAGTGCATATTCAAGTAAAGCAATTAATTACATACTAGTAGGCCCGTGCAAAAAATTCGCACAGCATATTGTTAAGTGATCAAATACCAAATTAATAAGAAAAGAAAATAATACAACATATTAAAAGATAAAGAAATAAATTGTTACTTTATCGATAAATATAATCGACAAAGGCAACAAAAATTAATTTAAAACTTCATTAATATTTGGAACCAACATGTTTATACATTTCAGTAAGCTATATCTTTGCTAAACATTGTCCGATTTCGATGATTTTTTTTTCTTTTGTAGGAAATTCAGTAATCTTTTATATAATCATGGGCATAACCAAGGGCATAGTGTGTAATTTTTTAGTTATTTGCAAATAAAGTGTCTTTTCTTTCATAACTTGTTGCCTGAATTTTCGGGGTGATTGGACTATTTGCCCTCCTAAAGGAGAAGGAAGCCTTCAAATTTGGTGGCTCAATCTTGAGATTTGGTGAAGAAACAACGATGATATGGGCTCCTCCTCTCTCGATCGTAGAGGCCTCAAGTGGACAAAATGAGACATGTATTCAATGACAGTACTACAATTAACGTAAAGTTGTGTGGATGCGAACCCTATGCCTTGCGTTATCTCGAAAATAGCATGTTTTTGGGCTTAAAAACGCAGGGCCCGATAGTTCCGAAGCAACTATCCGATTCTTGCTGTACGCATCATAATCTTCAAAGCCCAATTTGTTCCATATCGATCTACAGACTTACCAACGTTCTGGTATTGAAGCCTAACAAAATGTTTGTATCGACTTTATTTATTTTAGAAAGTAAAACGAAAGTGGAGAATACGATCCGCTAACCTCCCGTGAAATTCTAAATCCAACGGTATCCTATTCATGGTATTTGAGCAAGACAGGAGGTTAAATTTGGTACAAAATCGATTTCGAGCGTCACTATAATAATATATGTGGGGATGTTTTTTTTTACCATGTAATTTGTTTAATTTATGCGTTTTTTTTTTATTTTTGTTTCCTTTTACGGGTGTTTATAATATCTACTAATATTAATGATTGTCGGTAAAAGTGTATCCTCTAGAAAAAGTCTTAGCTTTTTCAAAATATCTACCACGAAACACATTGAAAAAAAGAGTTAATATGAGAATAAATACAGTCCTGACCATAGAAATTGCAATACCTTGTAAACATTTTATTTTATTTACCAGATTACTATCTGCAAGATCTCTGGATATTTCTTTGCCAGTTTTAAGTGATATTCTAAAAAAAAAATTGCACCAATAAGCTGTCAAATTGTTTGTTTTTTTTTCTTCTCAGTTCTTTTCAGTCTCTCCATGATGCCCTGAGAAAGATTTTTTTCACAACTGTGACTGTTGATTTGGTGGTGATACCTTGTCCTCGTCACTATTTCCTGTGAAAATTCTTTCACTTCATGTAACTTTAAAATTTTAATATTTTCTGCAAGGAAAGTTTTTTGAAACTGGTCATAATTACAGCTTTTATCTTGGCATTAGTTAAAACCAAACTGAAAAACATTTTTTAAGTTTTCTTGTAACTAAGTAAAAATAAAAAATATTCAATGGATTCAACATTATCAATCTAAAGAAATAGGTGATGCAATTTCTATAACCACGACTTTATTATTAAGGCATCACAATAATTTTCCTTGCTATACATGTCATACTGGTACTTGGTGGGAGAACTAGTTTGGCAAGTGGGCCCTATCATGGTCCTTTTTGCCAACCTCTGACTACTACCTTAAGGTTGTTTCCACGTACATGCCAGAGTGGGAATGTCGTGGGCAGAGTGGCCGAACGGGGTTACGTGTGTGCACGGCACCACCGTTGCCCAGTAACCTGATATAAGACAAATGATAACAAATAGCCACAAGTTTGCGCCCCGGTGCCGGGGGAGTCTTTTAAATCTCTGGCCCAGGGAAACCACATATAGTCTTATTGTCAAGATCCATTTCCCGGGACCGTTGTGAAATGAAATTAACCGACCCAGGTGGGAATCGAACCCAGAACGTTCAGAACCGAGCACGCTGGGACCCACTTTCCAACGTGCTCAGCTATCCTGTCCTCTATACATGTTATACACATGTATGTAAGTCAAAGTAACAAGATATTCCGCCTGATGAAGGATTTACTTTAATGTTTTTACATATTTACATTGGTTGTTTCATGATTCTTATTAAATTGCTTCCAGATGATTGTTAACTAATTTTGTTTTGTTTTTATTACTTTAAATTTCAGTCTTTGGCCAAAAATCCATCCGCACAAGCTTACCTTTCTTGTGAAAATCCAGAAGAGCCTTACCTGGATGGAATATCTTATAACTGTGTTGCCCCAGGAAAAAGATTTCAACCCATGTCAAATCTTTCTGGAGGAGAGAAGACAATAGCTGCCCTGGCGCTTCTTTTCGCAATTCATAGGTATAAACTTAAATACATTTAATGATATATTAAAAGTAATTTTAAGGAAAATTAATTTCTCAAGTGTGTATCATGAAAATAGACTTCTTTCTTTTCCCCACAGGTAAGTTAAATTGCATGACTTAAGTTGGTAATTAGTTGTGGATTAATTTGTAGCATTTAAGCCATTAAAGTTTGAAATATTTATTTATTTATTTCTGTATTGGCCTAGAAGCTAATAATTACATAAAATAATCAATACTGCCTATCAGATTAAAATATATAAGCTTAAAAATAAAATGATTGACTACTAATACCACTTCCGCTAGTATTTTGTGTATAGGATCAAGTTTCTAAACTCAGTTCTAATTCAATCAATGAAAATCATCCACTGATTAGGAATCTGCTTCCAATGGACAGTGACCATTTTGCAAGACTTGGTTATTTGAACTCAGAGGACCTAAAAATGAGTATTTCTTTTGAAAACTCAATTTCAAAAACTTTTATGATTGCAATACTTTCGCTTACTATATGTAATTGAAAGTAAAAAAATGAACAATAATAAAAAATTAGAAAATTAACTGAATATAATTATTTAAAGTTAATTGAGAATTAGTAATGATGTTATAGCCAATGGAACAGCTATGCCACACTAACTGATTCAATCGATAAATAAAGAGGTATGCTGTATTATATCAATAGTTTCCATTGATGAGTTTAGGAACTGTCTGATAGTTTTCTGACACCATCATTGAACTCAGTACTGATTTTAGAAGCTGGCCCTCGTGTGTTTTTCATAATACTTCGCATTTATTAGATAGGCTACAGGAAAAACACACCTACTTCCTAACATTAATAATAACCTGATTATCTTCAGTATTTATGATTTGAAATATGACTCTTAAGGTATAGTATAATGCAACATGAGATTGTATTAACTAGTTTATTTTTTATAAAATGGAAAATCATCCATTATAATATCAAACTGGGTATAGGTGTTTAATTAAACTTATGTTTTTTTAGTTATCAGCCTGCTCCATTCTTTGTATTGGATGAGATTGATGCTGCCCTCGACAACACAAATATTGGCAAGGTTGCTTCTTATATCCACGGTCTTCAAAACCTTCAAACCATTGTAATTTCTCTTAAAGAGGAATTTTTCAGCCATGCTGAATCACTTATTGGGATTTGCCCTGATGTAAGTTTTCAATTATTTCTACATCCTTTTTCTTCTGTATTGTCTACCATTATATTTATTTAATATAAATTTTAATTACAGGTTGGTGATTGTTTGATCAGTAGGGTTATCACATTGGACCTGTCTCATTTTTCTCAACATTGGTAATAGAGCTGATTTTAATGTGGAAATATTTTAAATTGTATTTATTATATTTTATTGAAAATTGTATATTAATAAAATAGTTTATTTATAGATGTTGTATAGTTTTTAATATGTCTGAAAGGGGGTTAATGTTAACAAATATTGTTATATGTTATGCAAATGATGATTTAAATTTAACGTTACTTGATCAACAGGACATTAGTTACAGTAATGGAATCATTCCTTATGTTCCTTTATAAAATTTATGTTAAAACATAGCCTACAGTTGTTCACTGGATTTGTTCCACAAAAAAATGTTTGGTTGGCATGTCCTAATTTTAAACTTTTTAAAAAGCTGATTTATTTGCTTAGAATATAGAATATATAATATCTCATATTCTGAGTGTTTGTTTTAATGTTTTACTCAATTTTATGTACTACCGTATTCTTTTATTTCAGCAATTCCAATTTTAATGAATTGTATTTTAATAAAGTTGATTGTTTATATTTTTATATATGTATTTTTATCATTAAATCATACCTCTATCTCCTGTCCTGTAATTTTTGTCTCTGTTCATTGTGACTTGTGCTTGACTGGATGAAATTCATTGTAAAAAGGATCTTTTTATGAAATATTTATTTAACAGAATCCATATTATTTCATTAAATTTTAATATACTTGGTTAAACAGAATATATGTATGGATCTGTGTTATATCTAATTATTAAATAAGACCCTGTACTACTGCAACCCATGAAGGGTCTTCTTGGGTTCAGTACTTAGTAAGGAAGTACTGTTTTTACGTCAACAGTTGGGCTAAGAGATGATTTGACCGATATCACTCACAGCTGCCAGGTTATATCTTTTGATCAATTACTTAATTAAGGGTACCTACTTCATAGATGCTTAGTGTGCCCCAAGAGGGTCTGTCGACTCTAGGATCGATCTATGGCTGATGAAACAGAAGAAATTATTTATCTGCTATGAGCTGGATTCGAACCTGGGACTTTGAGCATTGGCAGTCAGCACACTACCACTGAGCTATCCCACACACATATATTTAAATATTAGTTAATATTATCTCTTTATTGTGGTGAGAAAGAAATGCTTGAAGAAAAAGTGATTACAACGAAGTATTAATTAACTTAAGCCACATTTTTCTCTTTCATTAGTCATGCTAAAAAAAAAATCAGCTTATTTCTTTTAGTTTTCAAAAAATAATTGTACTATACAGCATTTTATTTACAAAAATTCATTGTGGCAAAAACTCACTAAAAATTAGTCACGAGCTGTCAACGGATTGGTTCTAAAAATTTAAATGATTGAGATTTTGGACAATGATACTGCTTAGGTTTAGAGTGTCAGTGTTGTGAAGAATATAATAATATTCTTTTTGATAGAAATATTGTGTTTTTCTCAAATATTCAATTATAATCTGCAATGAATAAGTGAAGTGAGTATTGAAACATTTATTTTTTTCAGAAGATAGTTTAAAATTCTGGAATACATTATCTTTTTTGTTTAGAATAGATTTAATTTCATTCTTGATGGCTAACTTATTAATATAAGGTTACAAAATTTTAAACTGCTGCCTATAAAAAATGAATTAGGTTTTTATGGAACATCTTGCAAATATTCGAAATGAATTTAACTCTTTGTTTTTCTAGTTTTAGTTGTCTCTTTTATAATATATTTTTTAAGTGGATTTTTTGGTACAACTTTTGTATCTCTTGCAGAATACAGAGTAGATTTAATAGAAGCAAGGTTGTTAGATAGATAGATAGAAAAATAATTTTATTCTGAGACACAGTCCCTTGAGAATAACAAAATAGCACAAAATTAAAAGATCACATCTGGCCAAAATAAAATCAATCGAAAAAAAGAAATAATGTAAAAAAAAATATAAGGTAAACATTCTATATACAAAAAACGAAACTATTCAATGTTGTTCAATGTTAAAAATAATTACTTAATTTAATTAATTCAATATTACCGAAATAAATGAAGAATTAACATTTATAAATGATAGAAAGTATAATAGCAAACAGAAAGAGTCTTAAACAATACAGTGTTTTAATTTACCTTTCTTCATTATTTTCCCAATGAATATAAAATTCTGATTCTATTTATTCTTGATTATAAATTTATCCTGAGAGGTACCTACTGTGATATTAATGCGTACTGGATTAAAATTATACTTTTATAATATTTTTAAAATTATATTTTTTTACTTCTCGATATGCATTAAATTTCTATGATAAATATGCATCTTAAATAAAATATAAAACTATAACTGCAATGAACAACTTACGGATACTTCCGGTATTTAAAACGTTCTCTTAATTACAAGGAGGTAGGAATGTGATATTTTTCAATGGTTATCGAAGTATTACAGTATTCAATGTTGCCACAATTAGAGTTAAGTAATTAATTGAAATTGTTTATTTTTAGTGAGGTAAGATATAATAAAGTTCGTACAATTATTTCATTAATATAATATGATTATTTGTAAATTATTTATATAGAAAGATTTTAAATACACGACTAATGGAATCATTATTTTTCGTAATAAAAGAGAGTTTTATTTTCGTAAATAGCAAGTAATTATTTCAAAGATGAATTTGATCATAAAGGTGCGTTTAGACATTTCACAAACTGTGGGAAACACAATTATCTAACTTAACACTTAACTAAAAAGGTATTTATTGCTAAACCATACTATTTATTTTATTTCTCTTATTACCGACAGAAAATGAAAAATATCAAAAATACTAGCATAATGAAATAACCATTTATATATTTCTTTGTCCCATAGTTAGTGAAATTTCTAAACGTACTTTTGCAGTATGATTTTAAATTTTCAAGAATAATTTTGTCATTAATCTCGCGTCTGAAACTTAAGAATTTTTCTATGCTTTTTCTACTTCAAAAAGAAGAAATCTAATAGCTGATATGATTGAAATCGGTCAAAATTTAAGTGATCATTGAAAATAAAAATGAGGAATATCTAAAATAAATATATTATTTAAAAGTATTATTAAAACTAAAGTAGACTAAAGACGATAAGGAACACAATTATACGACGATATAAGTTCGAAAGTTTGTAAGAAAATTTACAAGCTTTAGCAAAAGAAAATATATGTATTGCAATAACAATTAAAATGAATAATCATAGTTATTATAATATAGGTGAGTAACCTTATAAATCAAATGAACCAGCCTGTCGTTTTTTTCATTTTAGTAAACTTATTCTTACGAAAATTTTCGCATATAATAAAATTATTAGCACTGATAATTATTAAAAACTCGTGGGTATTTGTTAAACAAATAGTTTTGGGGAAAAATGTAGTATGTATCAATAGATTTCCAAAAATGGAAAATTTGTTTGCTGTAGCTGCAGGTTTGTTTCATTCTCAACTTAACTAAAAATTAACTTCCAATAGAAAGTGATTGTTTGCTTTGATGAAGTTTAACAATACAAGAAGCACTTAATGAGAAAGTTAGTACAGAGCAGATAACACCACCATTACTGTACTCTTACTCCACTTCTGGATTTGGTGGGCTGCTGAAATGAAACTCCAAGACCTTATACTTATTTCATTAGTTTCGCAATATGCAGTAAGTACTATGTTTTTTTATTTTATAGTTCTTTTAATTCCCCTGCTATATTTCTACTGGCTAAATTATTAATGTCAAAATTAAGTCTTTTAGAAATTTATAGGACATATGATGTTAACTTAATCAGTAAAGTAGTTTAGAAATTGTCAATTCAAACCAACTAACTAGCTTTAAAATTTCAGTATTTAATTTAAACCTTAAATATTGTAATTTTTATTTATTTATTTTTTAATGTACTACTAATAGAGATAGATTCCTTGACTTACCATATGTCATATATTTCATGATTTATAGCCATAAAGATCTTGTTTAAAATTTATAAAAACCTCCATCTCAAAAGTTCACAGGAAAACAGTAGTATAATAAAATTTTAAGTAAATGATCTGAAAATATGTTTTAAATTTTGAATCAATTTTGGGTACTACTATACAAATGTCACTCCACTTCTATGTGTGGCACAAGATCTTATTATCACACCATAAATGGAGTCAGGAGAATGGCTAGTGTGTTTAAATATAGAGGAAGTGACTGAGCCATCTTTGATTTGAGAAAATTTAATTCATCCAAAAACAATGACCTTTTATATTTATAAAAATTATTTAATAAAACTCAATTTGGAAAACAAAAAGCTACAAATGCAAATAATAACTTACTAAGATTCATAATCACTGAAAATCTCTTTGAATCTTATAAGTTCAGGATTTTTTTACCTTTGACAGTCTCTATTTTATTTTAAAATTTTATTTGTAGAGAAGCTTTCGGTGTCCGTGCACCATATTCAGCTCCACAATTATGATACTCCAATTAGGATAAATTAATAGTTAATTAATAACATTAACAAGACATGTACTACGTAATTTTTGAAAAGTGTAGGGACACCGAAACCTTCTCTACAAATAAAGTTTTAACATAAAATAGAGACTGTCAATGGTAAAAAATCCTGAACTTATAAACAGTCTAAAATTACCTAATAACCTCTTTGAATGTTTAAATTTTGTATTGGGCATACATAACCTTTATTAGAGTATTTTAAATTAACTTCAGGTCTAGTTACATTTATAACTAAAATGTTTATCAAAATCATTTATATGTCAGTGTATACAAAATTATTGTCATTAGTATCATTACTATCACTGGCATGAAATTTCATTTCATGAAATATTTGAATTTTCATAAACATTTCAATGCATCAATATTGAATGAACATATGGAGTATATTTTGTTAATATATTTCTGTTTTGGAGGAGACTACTTCAAAATGAACAAAAACGATTATCTATTCAGTTTCAAGTTTTCATTACAGAACTTGCATCTTTTGTTCTAGGAGAGTTCGGTATATGAAGAGGGTCTTCCTCCTATAGCTTATGATCCATGGTTCTCAACTCTCCTTATACGGATTCTACTTGCCACCAATCCTCAACTCCTAGCATATGCTGTATCCCAGAGACCTCGGCCACTTGCTTATGATGGTTTATCACAGACTGAATTACTTTATCCTAAGAGACAGCCAAAATATTATCCATTGACAGATAATGTAGCAAACAGTCAGCCATTTGGAGCTTATAAATACAGTACTATAGTTAGATAAATTCTTAATTAGTGCTGATACTTACTTTGAGCAAATGGTAATAGCAACATTTTGGTTGTTAGTATTTAAACATTATGAAAGAAACTAATTTATAAAACAAAAAACCTCTACAAGTAAACAATTAACTAAAAACAAATTGCTCCCATAATTGGGTCAAATTGTTTTGAGCTGGTTGTGCCCTTGATACATATATATTTTAGTTGTAGAATTTTGAAACTATGGAGCAGAATTAAGATGTGCTTATATTCATTTTTTTCTATATAGGATGGATTACAGGCATTCACAGATTTAAAAAAATATATAAAACATATAAAATAAATAACTTTATATGCATTGAAACATAATTAATTTTGACATTGATCATTAAAGTCATAAATTAAAAATTGTATTTACAATTTAAAAAATGTGTAACATCAATGATATAAAGTAGCACTTCCAGTTAGCCAATTTTGAAAAAAAAAGTTACTGTAATATCATAGGCATATACCTATCTTATATAAATAATTACAGTTTTGAACTATTTTTAGTTTCTGAACTAGGCTGTTCAGATACAAGCACACACAGACCATTTTGTGGGAGTTGGTTATTTGGATTCAGGGGACCTCAAAACGTGTATTTCTGTTGAAAACTCAGATTTTAAATCTTTCATGATCGCAAAACTTCTTCTTATTTTATATATATAAATAATTTGTTTTTATCTCCTGTCCTCATAAAGTAATACTGTTCTCTTAGAGGCCAGTTATCATCTTGGAGAACTATGCTTCTTATTAAATTATGACGTTTACTGTCAAAGACAGGGCTGTCACACAGAATATGATGAAATGTTTGGGGAGTTTGTCCGTCGCAGTGGCATATATCAGTATTCATCAGATGAAACTGTTTGAAGTAAAATTTGTGTTGTCCATGTTCAGTTAAAAACTGTTTCAGTTTGTAATGTGTCCCTTTGATTTCCCTTACTATATATTACATATATAGGTAAGTGAAAGCAAAAATAAATAATATCCTCAAATTCATACTGAATTTCCTCTTTTTCCTTTCTCTTACCTTCTCTACCCCCTCACCCTCCTCTACAAGTAAAAACTTTCACAGTAACCAACTTATTTTAATTGCTGCAATCACTAAGAAACTAGTTAATTTAACAATCTCATATAAAACACAGTGATAGTGATCAAGGAGAAGGTAACAACTCTTAAAAAATAAAATTAAAAAAAAAGGAAGAAAAACAAATTTTTTTCTAAATTATATTATCTAATTTTTAGATTTTTTTACATAACGCACTGAAAATAAACTAAGATGGAGGGAAAAAAATCTTCTGAGAACTGAAGCATTTATCCTTCTGCAATTGAATATTTGCCATTTTAACAACTGATTTCGGGATTTATGTAATGGTAAATGTGAAGATTGTAAAAGTTTCGCATTCACTTTTTCTTCTAAAATTAAGGTTTAAAATGTTACTTTAAAAAAAATTAAAGGATAGATAAAACAAATTAAAAAATATATTTTCTATTTTATTATTTGATTTCTTCACATTTTTCAGTGTGAACAATAAAATAACAAAAAACAAACATTAGTTAAAATACAGCAGTTTCTAAAAACCAGATATTGTTTCATAATAATATAGGTTTCTGATGTACCTTAATAAATTATCCTTTAAAAAATTCTGTGAAGATGTTTGGCAGTAGATTTCTATAAGAGGAAATTAATATAGTATAAATATAACCAATTTAAATAATAAGGAATATTTTTATTATATTCACTTACTTATCAAATTCAGCCAGTTGCATGTACTTATACTGCCATCTAATGAAAAATTAGGTTATACTTGTAATATAGTAATAATGCAACCTACTATACCATACAAGCCATTGTGATGTCTATTATTGAAAAAAAAATAGTTTACAATAATAATTCTATTCTTTTCAAATGAGCATTCTAAAGTACAAACCATTTGAATGGCACTATATACCTACATAACATGTATTATAATGATAATTATTCTTATAATCTTATGTAAATGTGCACAGCAGGTACCCTGTCAAAACAATATTAAGGCACGCTAAAGATTCTGTATAGAAATATATATATATTATAATTTATATTACATAAGACTTTTCACCCTCATGTCTTTAATTGTTGATGGTAAAATCTGTATTTTAAAACATTTAATAATATTCATCTCTAATGAATTAAGTCTAGTTTAGAAAAAATCTGACAGATAAAAAATTGATTTAATAATACTTGAATTAATATTTTAATCCCAGAATATTGCTATATTAAAATAAATCAGCTAGCATATTAATAATTCTTTGGAAATCACAATAATAAATTATTATAAATACAGATTTATTTAAAAAAAAAAATCTAATTAATTAGTAATTAACCCATTAATAAAATTATTGACAAGAGTAAAAAGCTTGAATCTATATGGATTAAGATTCAGTTGAAATAACTTTTAAGCACTAAAACAATGTGTCGTAAAGATGTATGATTTTGATGAACATTTGGTTCAAATATCTAATAATTAATTTACACGATTACACCATTAGCAATTTACACAACTGCACCACCAGTAATTTACACAATTGCACCACTATTAATTTACACAATTACACCACTTTTGTTGTCACCTAAAACAAAAACCACATAATTATAATTTTTTTAGATCCTGATCCAAACAAAGTATCATGGCTCATTTTATGTATAAAGAAATATGCACAATATTCCATTTAAACATTAAATATAAAGAGGCCAAGAAATCACAATGACTTTATTAATAATATTTTCCTGAAATCATAAAAGGTTAGAGGTGATCATATTCATCAGGGGTGCAAAAGGAGCTTGAGATCTTGACATTTTCCCAGAATCCTAATATAGGGGATCGAAAATCCTCCCTACCTCCAAAAAAATATAAGAAAACTTACCTTAAAAAAAGTTTTGATTTAAATTCAATCAAGGAATCAAGTTATAATTGTTTTAGTAGTTACTTGAAACAGGCTTGTTTTGGTTTATTCAGAATTCAAAGGAAAAAACATGTTACTGATATGTACTCTTATACCATATTACATAATAATATATCAATCAATGATTTCTATAAATTTTTTGGCATGTTATTTTTTTTTTTTTTTATTACTCCTATCTCGCCATTACTGACATAAAAAGGTAAGGGGAGGATTGTTCTATAAGAATAACCAAATCTATTCCAACCAGAGTGGGAAGGTCAAGATTTATTCCGTCGGTCAACCAGAACGGTTTTGAACCAGTGTCACTAGACTCACGATTGTTAAACCAGGCAAGTCTTCAACACGCTCAGCCATTACGGCTTCTGGATATGTCATATTATCCCCACCTCATTATAATATGTCATCTGGTAAAATTTATATTTTTAAACTTCTTGATTTTGAATTCTCAAGTGCCCTAATTTCCCCAGACCCTAAATGATTTTCACCAACCAATCTCTTGGGTATATTCTTTACCTCTGTTCCATATCAATTGAATTCATACTTACTGTTAATACTCTTCAATTTCCTACTTTTTACAGTAGGTGTAGTTCCAAATAAACCATCAGTGCATGAAGAACTAAGAGCTTGAACCTATGAAATAAATAACTAGCATGAGGTTTATGCTGTACATTTACAACAAAATTATCTATAATCTAATCCAGGAGTCCACAAACTTTTTCTATTTGAGAGCATTTTTTTATTTGTAGGTTGATAGTCAAGAGACGGACACCAATGTGTTTGCATTTTTTTCCAAGATTTTTCATTCTTTGGCATTGTCAATAATAATAAAAAGGAACAATTTTAACAAATGGAAAAGTATTTCTTACATTTTTATATAAAACAAACAATTATTTAATTATACATTAAAAATGTAAACAAAACATAAAATTTCTTTATGAGTAATGTGTTCAAATCCTAAAGATAATGTGATATTTGCACTGCATTTCATCGGTCAATGCTTTATAATTTCCAGAAAATGATTATAATATGATAAGATGGAACAATGAAGTAAAATAGAATATGATCACATAACTTGTGATTAGATAAGTTGAATAAATGCAACTTTGAGAACTTTCTAATTAAGTTTTAGTTATAATAACAAAAATATTGAAAAGATTCGCTGGAAAATACCATGATATCAATAATGACTATTTTGAAAGAAATGATTATATTTCCAATTAATTGCTTATTAGATGTTTCATAAAAAATAAATAAATAAACCAAAAAATGAACAGCAACACTGCAGAAAGTAGTTACCTGCTGCTATGGCGAAAAATATACTTTTTAATAAACTGTGTGTCTACGAGTATATAAACTTTATAATTTGGTAAAGTGGTAAGGTATAAAACCACAGACAACCAGCACCGATTTTTACCAAATTTGTCAAAAACTGAGACAAATTGCTGTAAATGGCCCTGTAACTTGGAAATGAGTTCTCTAAGAGGAAAAATCCATAGAATTGAAGCTGTAGATCATCAAATTTCGCGTCCACTGAGTACTGACATTTTTATTGTAGGCCAATTATGTATCCCGAATCCTGATCCGTTATTCCTTTATGAAATTTGGTATCTTTCGACACATCGTTTATCAAAATCCTTCACTGCTGAGAGGTGAAAAAGAGGCTTATACTGCATTAAACAGGGTCTAAACAAAAATAACTCAGTAGAATAGACATCAATACTGTTGAAATATTGAAAATCACGTTTACCTTCATTACCAATTTCTAACCATGGGGAGATAACCGATTTTGTTTGGAGTAAATGACCTACCTTAAATTTCTTGGTACTGAATGGACGCAAAATTTGATCCTCTACAACTTTGATTCTATGGGTTTTTCCTCTTAGCATTTCCAAGTTGCAGGGCCATTTATCATAAAATAAAGAAAGTTAGTTCAATGATCTTGGAGGAAAGGAACGGATGATTTTTTTTTTTTTTTTAATTCAATTCAGGGATGCTATGTGCAAGTTAGGCAGGCACAATTCTGACTGTGGGCATACATGACATAACACGGGCACAATGGTAACCATGGGTACTGGCTTGGGGACTCCTGATCTAATCTACATACTATTTATTTCAAATATAGACAAGTTTATAAGAAAAAGTCATGAAAATCAACCAAATTTTACTGCTGCCAGAAGAGTTATAAAAACCTACTACATATAAATAATATATAAAATAAAAAGCTTATGTGCCTTTCCACTAGTGTATGTGTATGTTAACATTGTCATATCAATTTCACACCCACTGAAGCAAGTTCAGTACACTAACTTCTGGTAACTACGAAAATCTAGTACTTTATTAAATAAAATTCGAGGGTGATTAAAAAATATCAATGTATGAAGAATGATAACTCATTTAAGTTATAAGATTAAGGCTGACGGAAATACCTGTTTGTCTATAGCTGAAAACTGCCATCTCCAAGAGATGGAATAAAGAAACTGTCTCAAATCGTAACGATTATCATCAGGAGAATAACTTTCAGCATGAACAGATGGAGTAAGTACAGTCATTTTATGTCTGTTCAAAGCATAACACCTATAAAAATGCTTCACTTTTTCTGCAATCTAAATAAACAGTAACAGAGAAAATATTTTGAAATGTAAAAATGCACCTATTAATTAAAAGGTATATATTAAAGACTAAATGCAATAATAATCATTAATATTAATAGAATACATATTTATTATATATTAATAATATAAAAATAAAAATATAAAATTACTTAAATTAATTTATAAAAAATCAAATTACAATAAAACCTGAGTTTCTTTTTATTAACATTGGTGGATATTGATGATTAAGAACTGGATACCTAGTAAGCCAACTATTTAATAAAATAATATAAGTAAAATAATATTGTTTGAGAAATTGTAACAACAATATTTTCTATAGCCTCGCGCGGGCTCATTACCGCGTATGGGGAGCGTCCCACGGGAGGCAGATGTGGGGATGGTCGGTGGAAATTCCTTGGAAGTTCCTCCCGGCTAAGTCCGATGGACTCGCTGACCAACAATGAGAGGCTTGCTGGAGGGAGGGGACCTCCAGACTTGCTGGAGGGAGGGGACCTCCAGACTTGCTGGAGGGAGGGGACCTCCAGACTTGCTGGAGGGAGGGGACCTCCAGACTTGCTGGAGGGAGGGGACCTCCAGACTTGCTGGAGGGAGGGGACCTCCAGACTTGCTGGAGGGAGGGGACCTCCAGACTTGCTGGAGGGAGGGGACCTCCAGACTTGCTGGAGGGAGGGGACCTCCAGACTTGCTGGAGGTAGGGGCCCACCAGACTTGCTGGAGGGTGTGACGTAGGATTGAACGCCCTACTCACATATCTTTAGTTCACCAAACACCACAAATAGTCATGGATCTCCCTAAGGTAAAACGCTCATTATCCGGAGGTAAACTAGTCCCCCATTCGGGTCTCTCCGGGTGGGGACTGCTTTAGGGGATTCATGGCGCAAGTTGAAATATAGGGATTTAAATATTGGTACGTGGAACGTAAGGAGTTTAAACACAGCAGGGGGGCTAAAATCGGTCGCGAATGAGGTAAATGGGTACAATTTGGATGTCGTGGCTCTGCAAGAGGTTCGCTGGCCAGGGGAGGGCCCGATGAGGGAAGGAAAGTACACTATTTGGTACGGAGGAAGCGGGAATCATTGTTTAGGTACCGGGTTTCTAATTAGGAGTAGATTACTATCCGCTTTGAAGGACGTACAATTCTTTAGTGATAGAATTTCGGTAGCTATATTTCAGGGACGTTGGTTTAAAATCGCATTAATAAACATACATTGTCCGACCGAAGACAGTGACGATGAAGTCAAAAGTGAATTTTACGATAAACTCGAATGGGTTTATGATAAACTACCGCGAAACTACATGAAAATAATTGTAGGTGACGCAAACGCAAAGGTAGGAAGGGAAGAAGTTTATATTCCGACGATTGGTAAAGAAAGTTTGCACGAATATAGTAATGATAATGGGATCCGTCTGATAAACTTTGCCATCTCGAAAAACCTGATAATTAAAAGTACGACGTTTAAACATAAGGATATTCATAAATATACTTGGACATCACCGGATTCGCAAACACGAAATCAAATCGATCATGTCTTGATACAACACAGCTGGCAAAGCAGTATAATTAATGTACGGTCTTATCGCGGAGCAGAATGTGGGTCGGATCATGAATTAGTAATCGCGAAACTTCGACAAAAACTTAATATAAAAAAGAGAAAAGAAAACCGTTTCGATTTTGAGAATTTTAATTTGGAAAAATTAAAAAATCCATCAATTAGAAACCAATTCGAGCTAGATGTTAAGAATAGGTTTGAAGCTTTAGAGCTTCCTGACGAGGACCACGAGGATATTGACAAGTTATGGATAGAGATCAGAGATAATATTAAAGCGGTCGGTAACTCGTGTCTAGGAAAAAAGGAAAATAAGAATAACAAACCGTGGTTTGATGAAGATTGCTTAAACATGTGTGAAAAAAGAAAAGCCGCTAAATTAAAAGCTCTAAATAATCCTAGCGAAGACAATCTGGAATACTTCCGAATCTCAAAGAACGAAACGACAAAATTGCTCAAAAATAAAAAAAGGGAGTATCTTAAAAATAAAATAATTGAAATAGAAACTAATAGAATCGAAAATAACGTAAGAGACATGTACAAAGGTATAAACAGATCACGTAAATATGTAGGGCCCGTAACGTCTGGAATTAGGGATGATAATAACAATATTCTGACCGATCCGGTTGACATATTGAATAAGTTTAAGGACCACTTTGACAATATTTTAAATACGGGAAATTATGATCTGTGTCCTCCTTCTGAGTACCAGAGTGCTGAACCGTTAATAGAAGGACCAAGTAAAGAGGAAGTTGAAGTAGCTATCGGAAAATTAAAATCATATAAAGCAGCGGGAATCGATAATATTCCTACTGAACTAATTAAGGCATGCGGGGAAGCTGGAGTTTCTAAAATACATCGGTTGGTTAAAAAGATCTGGGTGAACGAGAAATTACCTGAAGAATGGAAAGAATCTATTCTTATTCCGATTCACAAAAAGGGTCCGAGGACGGATTGTAATAACTATCGAGGAATTTCACTCCTTCCGGTATGTTATAAAATATTCACTTTAATCTTAACCAGTCGAATCACGGAATACGCCGAGGAAATTATCGGAGACTACCAATGCGGATTTAGACGGAATCGTTCGACTATTGATCAAATATTTTCTTTACGGCAAATATTAGAGAAAAAATTGGAGTATAACGGTATTGTTCACCAGCTGTATATAGATTTTAAAAAGGCTTACGATTCTATTGACCGCCAGAAACTGTATAATATTCTAATCGAGCAGGGGATTCCAAAAAAACTAGTAAATCTAGTCAGGATGTGCTTGACGGAGACACTCAATAAAGTTAGAATCGGTAATAATTTGTCCGAAAAATTTGAGGTTCGTTCGGGCTTAAAACAGGGGGATTCTCTTTCGCCTGTCCTGTTCAATTTGGCATTAGAACATGCCATTAGGGAGGTAATGCGAACCGAGAAAGGGTTGGATCTGGGCGGGACAACATCCGTGCTGGGCTATGCTGATGATCTGGTACTGTTAAGCGAAGACGTTGAAACTATAAAACTAAATACGACAACGTTAATGAAAGCCGGTAAAGAACTAGGACTCGAAATAAACGTGGATAAAACAAAATATATGGTTAGCTGCAAAAATGGCGATACTACTGGTGATATCGATATAGATGGTAATATGTTTGAACAGGTAGATAAATTTAGGTATCTAGGTTCTACGATAACTAGAAAAAACGAAATTGAAGAAGAGATTAAGGTTAGACTGAAGGCGGGAAATGCTTGTTATTTTTCTGTGACAAAACTACTTAGTTCGCGCCTCTTGTCCCGAAACTTAAAAATTAGAATCTATAAAACAATTATCTTGCCTACAGTTCTTTATGGATGCGAAACTTGGCCGCTTACATTAAGGGATGAGCAGCGTCTTAAGGTTTTTGAAAATAAAGTATTGCGTAGAATATTCGGACCGAAGAAGGATGAGTTAACCGGAGAGTTCAGACGGTTACACAACGCCGAATTGCGTGAGCTGTATCCGGGTAATATAATTGAGGTAATTTCATCGCGGCGAATCAAATGGGCTTGTAAAGTTGTTGGGCTTAGTAACGAGAGAATTCCTAAAAGGTTAATATTTGCTGTGCCGAATGGTAAGCGTCCGAGGGGTAGACCGAAGCGAAGGTGGGAAGATTGCATTAAAGCCGATCTGAAGGGATTGGGTTTGGACGGCGAACGGTGGAGGGAGGTGTGTAACAAGGGATTGGTGGTGTCGGCATCGAACCTTCGGGTTCGCTAAGCCTCATTATTATTATTATATTTTCTATAGAATAAAGTTAATAAAAAACATTATTAAAGTTTAATTTGCCTCCTTAGAATCGTGTAAAATATACAAAAAAATTGGACGATTTCAGATGAATAGCATTTTAAAACAGTTTTTGTCTCTATTTTAAAATAGTATTTCAGCAGATACAAGGTATTACTTCTTTGCCGTAGATTGCATTTATTTGTCATTAAAAAAATTATTAATGGCAAACATGTTCAGTGATGTTGAACACTTAAAAATCAAAAATGTTTCTCAGTGTATTAAATATGTTTTAGACAAAAGAAAAATAGCTTTCAATTATGATACAAAAAATTAACTTCAAAATTATTAATCTTTATAAAAAGATATAATCTTTATATCTTCTTCATATAATCAGTAAATAACTATTTCTAATAAGAGAAAATATTACAGTTACATAATGGAAAATGGTACAAAATGTTGAAGGGGATTGAAACTTACTTCTTGTGGAGTCTTATTCTTCCAAACATGAATAAGTTTGTTGAATGTAGAAAGAGGACCACATCGACTAGACTTCCTTAACCTCCCCATACACGATAATTCTTCGTATGTTAAACCCATTTCTGCCTCATCTGTCTGGACAATAGTACCCTCAGAGAGAGGAAGGAGTTCAGCTGTTGCTGGAGCAGACTGAATCAACTCAAGGGAACTCAAGTTATATCTGAAAAGATAAGTTTTGGCATTTAATTACGACAACACTGACTTAAGGAAATACTGTGAATCTCATAAAGGAAATTATTGAATTGATTTATTTAGAGAAAGATTAAATGTACTTCCACTAATTCCTGTGACAAATATATAAACCCAAGACAAAAAATATTTTCTAGATTACCTACAAAATCAATAGAAATTAAAAATAAATGTAAAAAAGTATGAACTCAGAATTTTATGTTGACGATTGACCACGTGGTAGAAGGAGATGGTCTGATTGGCAGACCAAGTTAATCTTCTGTGAGAGAGGGACTTTTGGACTGCAGACCTCCAAAATAGAAAAACAACATTCAAAGAGAAGAATGGTTGGTGTGATCAGTAAAAAAAAAAGTAAAAATAAATAAGCATTTTTATTTTTGCTGAAACATTGGCAAAAATAAAAAATAAATATACTTATTTATTTTTACTGATCGCCCCAACCATTCTTCTCTTCAATTATTTACTACAGTCAACCATCAATCCACAATTAAAAATAATATTTCTTCATTGGTCCATATTTGTTTTGTTGTAGTGTTGGGACAGATAGATATTTGTTTTGAATGAGTGATCTAAGCTAAATAATAACACACTATTTTTAAATTATAAAACATATAAAGCTAATAAATGTAAGCAAGAAAATTATATAAAAAATTAATCTCTAAAAGCATTACTGTTTGTGCAGTTATTAATTTTTTTTTTAACCTGTCTTCAAGGATTAGTTTAACACAATTTCTTTATGTTTCTTCCAGAGTAATTAATAAAATTTTAAAATAAAAGTAAAAACGCCTTCAAAATTAAATCCTCGATGTGCTACAGTAGTGTAACAATATTGAAATGAAATGAAAATATATTTTTTTTATTATCCCTTTAGGACAAATTATAGATACAGAAAAAATGTCTGTGTGGCCATACATTAAATTAAATATTTACAAATCTCATTAAAATTAAAATATTGGCAGAAATAAAAAAATTAAAAAAACATGCAGATTTCCCATCAAATAAAATAACATAAGTATAAGTAACATAACAAAATCATTTCTAGGAAAACTTAAAAAGTTCTCTTATGTACATTTCGTGATCAGTCGGGTTGGCAAAAGAGTAGGTGCTAAAAAAGGAGAGATTTAAATGAGGAAACTGATTGTGTATGTCGGATATCGGGAGGGATGGTATTCCAGAAGGAGAAGCTTGAATTATAAAGGATTTGTCAAACGCAGCAGTTCAGAGAAGAAATGGATAGAGGTCGGAAGTAAGGGATTTAGTGGGACAGGATTGAATGGAATATTTAAATTGTAGGCTGTGAAAAATATAGGAAGGTCGCTGAGTTCTGATGGCTTGGTATAGAAAGGTAGCAAGGAAGTACAGATGACGGTTGGATGGATAGAGCCACTTCAACTTGGTGTAATACTGGGTTATATGCGTACCTCTTGAGATTCCGAAAACGTACTTTGCAATTCATTAGGCGTTTAAGTTTGGCCTTGAATTCTCCCGAAGGTCCGCCATACATCAGACAGCCATAGTTGAAGTGGGGGAACACAAGAGAGGAAACCAGGAGTTGATGGGATTTATATAGAAGGAGCGGAGACGGTTAAACTGTTTCAGGGTAGAGGTAGTACGACGAGAAATTTGGGAGATGTGTGGATCAAAGGTAACACCAAGGTTTTTTATGGAAGTATGGAATGAGATAGGCGAGTTGTTAAGGAAAATATTGGGGAGTGTTGGTAAGGATTTGAGGAATGAGGGAGATCCGATCAGGATGGCTTTCGCCTTCTTGGCATTTGGAGTAATCCTATTGTGGTTTGTCCAGGCACAAATTCCATTTATATCTTCCTGTAATTTTTGGATGGTGTCAGAGGATTTGGTCGGATTGAAGGGAAGGTAAATCTGGACATCGTCGGCATGCAGATGGTATCGACAGTGTAGGATAGAAGATTTAAATATTTAATCTACCGGTCATTGAAGTAGATAGAAAAAAGGGTGGGAGGTAAGGAGGAGCGTTGTGGGACACCTCTGGACAAGGATAAAGATTCTGATGGGAGCTATTGGGGACTACAACATACTGGAAGCGACCGGTAAGGAATATTCATCTCATTTCAGCAGTATTGTCACCAGGATTGGTTTGGTTCATTTTATGACAGGACATCTATAGTTTTGAAGTATAAAAACAATGCCAATTTAAAAAAGAAGTACCAGAACAATGGAAATAGACAAAATTTGCTATCATCTTTAAGAAAGGCAATAGAAAACAAATGAATAACTATCGACCGATCTAATTGTGCTCCATAATTGCAAAACTATTTTCATCTATATTAAAAGAATTCCTAACAAAACAGGTTATGGAGAAGAAAACTATCAAGTTGGGTTTTCAGTAATTGACCATATCCAAACAATAAATCAAAATATGGAAAAATCTAGAGAATATAATGTTCCCATCTATCTCTGTTTTCTTGACTTCAAAAAAGTCTTTGATTCCATCTATCATACAAGCATATTCAAAGCCCTCTTACAGAATACAGAATAGATATATACTGATTATAAACCAACTATACAATGATATATCAGCATACATTGAAACAGATATAAAAGGAAAATCTTTTCCTGTGGAAAAACGTGTGAGAAAGGGCGACCCACTCTCCCCAATTCTCTTCATTTTGGACCTGGAGTTAGTTTTCTATAACTTGGATAGGGAAGGAAAAGGAATAAAAATAGGAGGAAGGTGGTTAAACAACTTACACTTTTCCGATGATGTAATGCTTTTTGCAAAAGAGTAGAAATGATTACTATGCTACAGGAACCAGAATATAACTAATACCAGAATATAAAAAAGTAGGTTTAATTCTAAACTATAATAGAACAAAACTAATGACAGATTGTGAAGAAATAGAAATAAGAATAGACAATAATTATATAGAATACACAAATGAGCACATCTACCTTCACAGATAAAGAATTCGGGTAGAAATGTAGAAGAATCTCACAGAGCTGGAAGAAGTACTGGTCTCTAAAATGTTTTATAAAAGCCAATGTTTTTTAAACACCACATCAATGAGGTGTTTAAAAAACGAACTTATATAATGTGCATCCTTCCAGTTTTGTCTTATGGAAGCAAAACATGGTCGCTCACAAATATCAAGAAAAGAAAATAAGAATCTGGCAAAATGCTGTAGAGAGAAGGATGGTTAACATTAAAAGAAAGAATAAAATAAAATGTACTGATATTCAGGAGGAAAATAGGGCCCAGAGACTCTTCCATACTTATAAAAAATTAAAAAGGAAGTGGGCAGGATATCTGTTGAGATTTCCTGAACAGCTATTCATCCACTGAGATGGAGAGGACACCATATGGCAGAAGCAGGAAACGAGGAAGACAACCAAAGAGATGGAGTGATTCATTCTAAAAATCAGCAGGCCCAACATGGTGAAGAACAACAAAGAATAAAATTGATGGTGGGAGATGTGGAAGTAAATGGAGAACCTCAATTCCCTGTAGCGTTGGTCACCATGGGAAGTGTAAGACCATTACTCCTCTTATGAGGAAGGCTAGTGCAAAACATTTTTAGATTAAGAGAATATATAGTTGCTTATTAAACCGTTTATCATTTATTAAAAGAGCTACCGTACATATTATTGAAATAATTTAAATTTTGAAAAAGTATTAAAAGTTAATTTATAAGTACATTGTATTATAATTTAATTTTGTATAATAAAAGCTATTTTCATTTTATTTAATGATAGATAGGGCACCTATAGTTTTGGTAAACTATTGAAAATATTTTTTTTTTTTTGCGGTTATTCAAAGTTTTCATTTACACCATGACATCATACTTCTATACTTAAAATGTACTCAGTTTTACATATAATGGAATGGATTCCTGCCTCAAACAAAATAATAAAAGACATGTAATTGATTCTGACATAAGAGACATAAGGATAAAGTTTTGGAATCTAAACTTTTCCATAAATAACCTAATTATAACATGTGTCTCTAGTTTTCTTTCTTTTTATAGATTGCATTATTTTTAATTTAAGTTTTTCATATCAAATAAATTCAAGAAACTAACCTGTCTTTAGCATAACATATAAATGACCTCAGATCTGTTTTAGATATACCTCCAATAGGATTAACATCTGCAGAGCTACAATCGTACTTAGTCATATATCCACGAAGAGCTTCATCGACATTAGCAGATCCAACAACTAGCAGTCCACCAGGTCGGCCTCTAGCCCACAACAACAGTTGAGCCAATAGATAAGACATAACCATCCTTATGCGAGCCTATAAACCAAATATCTATAAAAGAATAATAGTTACAATCTTTACATAGAAGACCTATACTAATGATTACCACTATAATATGATAACTATTATATAAATGAGTATAGAAGTAAGCCATATCGCTACAATTAGTGCAAAAGGTTGTATGTAAAAATTAAGTTTTCTTACAGATTAGTATTTGCACACTACAAAATGTCACTTTTAGTGCAATGAGAATAAACATGCAAAATTGTTACATACGATCTTTTGCTATAACAGTAGCGATATATAATTTCACACAACACTTGTTAAGTTTTCACAGGCATGCATTTTTCTTTAAGGTAATTCTTTGAAATAAGAGAGCTCCATTCTAAATCCAAACCCATTTGAAAAAATAATTTATTAAAGATTCGGAAACTAAAAGAGGGTCTCTGCTTCTTTCTTCCTTTACACATTTTGATGATTTCCGAGGACAAGATATAATTTTTTTATTGTAGATTGAAAACATGTTTATAACTTAACGAAGATTAGAAACTTAAAGAAATATTCATACAACACAAACTTTATTTTTACCAATGCCTATAAGGACAAGTAATAAAACTAAAAAAGTGAAAAAGGTCAAAGAAAAATATTAACCCTTTAGGTCAAAAGGAAGGAGTGGGCATCTGTAACATTGACTTTGAAAAGGCAAGTGGGTTTCTAGGATAGAATGATTTTTCAAGAAAAAACAGGTTCCATATTATCATGCATTTAAGCAAATGTTTTATAGCTTTGATTAGTTTTTTTAAAGTTGATTATCTACCTTTATTGTAATCAAAGTATCAGGTATATAATGTTTGGAAAAAGTATAATTTTTATAAATAATATAATTATATACCAGTTTATTCCAATACGAAATTTATTGAATCATTATCTTATTCTACAATAGTTATAACTTTGTAAAAAATAATGTATTTTTACTAAAATTATAATTACCTTATTCTAAAAATAATATGTGTATATATATATATATATATATATATATATATATATATATATACATTAGCTACATATTTATATACACATACATATATATACATAGCTACTACAGTAGCTTAATATATGTGCTAGTGGACGGTGCTGAGACTGTCAGTGTTTCCCTGGCCTGATCGAAGCTGTATTTTTCAAACTTTGAAGAGGATCCCATCGTTAACTTATAAAAAGAAAAATACCGGGATCGAAACGTCAATAATCATAGAGGAAATGAACATTCAGTAGTTTATTAAATAATTAATAAGTGACCTTATTCCAAATTAAATGGTTATGTTTAAATATATATATATATATATATATATATATATATATATATATATATATATTGTTTTTTGTATCAATAAATAAGGCCTAAATTAAAAAAAAACAACTTAATTTTAGTATATTTAGCCCCTTACTAGTCCAAACAATGTCCCAAAGTCAAAAATTGTGTTCCCAACACTTTTTATATACTTCCTTTTCAAGCATTCCTTGATACAGCTGTATTACAGAGAGTACAGAGGTAACATTAATGTTAAAAAAAAAAAAAGGTCCCAGACAATGAAATAACACACTAATAGAGTACATACATCCAAAAATCACACCATTTTCAGAAGAGAATATTATATCAATAAGTGTACAAGAAAATTAGAGCATACTTGAACATTTTGAAGAGCTAAACATTCTCTTGGAGAACCGCCATGGACAGAAAATCTGGGTTTCATTCCCGTTACTAGACTGAAGACATTCAACAAAGCAGTCACAGCAGCAGATAAGTTTACTTCAATATGATAACTGCAGCAGAATATGAAAATCAACAGTAATTAAACAATACAATTGAAACATTAATATGAGATCAGAGTTTAAAAAGAAAAACTATTGAGGGACAGGTGAATCGTTAGTAGTTATTCTTTTTTAATTTTATAATTTACAAGCTCTTTTATAAAAGATTGAAATAAAAAATAATTGAATATTTGTGCCTAAAATATGTATAAAATATGCCATGAATAGAAAATTGGAGATTAGAAAAGAACTGAACAAAGAGGTTAAAAATAAAAATGAATGTTACTGAGCTTTCATGAAAATAAAATGATTGTTAATACATTCATGGGAGTGGCAAGACAGTTGAAGTGGATCAGTGCTTGAATTGTGTTAATCAGACCTATCAGTCTACTGGAGCCAACTTGCACTAAGTGATTTATTACAAGAGGTTTAAATAAGCTTTAAATAGAGTACAATAATGAAAAGCTGAAAATAAAAATATACATACCTACCGATTTGATGTGCAAGTTGCTTAGCTCTCATTTTTGTTTCACTAGATGAGTTCTCAGTCGCCATGTAAGATGTGAAGAAAATTCTACCACAAAGTTCCTTAGCATCAGTTGGGCAGTATTTGGGATCAGAAACAATCTTTCTAACATTATCCAATACTTCATCTACAGAAAAAAATCAGATAAATATCTAAGAATTTTTATCATTATAGATACCACAAAAAAGAGGTTGTTCATTGATATTTTGGTACTTGTGACTTAGTTGGTCGCCACGGAGAACATATGCTCTTATCTTGTGAAACCTCTTCTTATCACTCGTTTCTGCTTAGTTACATGTGTACTCTAAATAGGTCAACTAAAAAAAATTGGAGGGCCTGGAAAAATGGTTGAAATAGACTAAAGTCTTTTTTCTAAAAGAAAAGTCGTTTAAGGAGAGTGCTTCCTGAACAATGGATGTTTGATAGAGTTTGTTGAGAAACAGACGAGTGTATATATTCTAACTGTTGGAAAAGATATAACATTCAACAACTAAACAATACAAACTACAACCATTTCAAGGTATATCACCGGTATAACTTTGTGGATCCTTCAAGTGGGGTCCATGCTCAACACATAGAACGATCATGGGGCTCAGCTAAGTAGAAATAAAAAACATCGAGGAACTGCGAGGCAACACCTGGATTCATATTTATGTGAATTTTTGTGGCGGCGGGTCCACAGAGAATAGCCTGTTCCTCACTATTTTAAATATGATTAAGCTATTTTGTCTTCCAAAATAAATAAAATGTGAAATAAAAATGTTTTGTTATAATTACATTTCTTTTTGTCTATTTCAATTTCTATAAATATACATAAGGTAGGTATTATCAGTGTTTAGGTTATGAACAATGGTGGATAGCAGTCCATGGCGACCGGCCAACTCACAAATACCGATATAACTCCAATAAAATTTTATTAAAAGTAATTGAATAAGTTTTGAATTGATAGATAAATAGTAGACTATTAGAAAAAAAGAAATAGTTGTTCAATAAATTAGCTCAGTACCTGAAATTTGAGAATATTGAACTATGAGATTGCACAATGAATAAATTATTACAGCAGAACTTGCAGAATCAATTCCTCCGCTTAATGGGAGGAAGAACCCTCCTTGACCAGATCGCCTGTCAACAGAAACAAAACAACATTTAACATTTTCTTTTAAAATTAATATATGCTGGTTTATTGCAAAAAGTCAGTAAGAACATTTCTTATGGAGTTCAACTTAAAAGTATCTATGAAGTGAATTTTGATCACATTTATCAATGCAAAATGTACTAGGTACATCAACATAATACTAAACCTATGAAGGTTCTTGGGTTCAGTACTATTTAGGAAAAGCACTGTTTCTAGGTCTACAGTTGTGGAACGAGGTGATTTGACCAAGATCACGCTCAACCACCAGGTTTTTCCTCTTAATTAATTAGTTTAATTAAGGGTGCCCACTTTATAGAGGCTGAGTCTAGGAGGGTATACCTACCTAGGGTCGCCTAACAGCCAATGAAACAGAATAAATAATTTTTCTGCCATGAGCCAGGATTCGAACCTGCGACCTTTAGCAATGGAAGCTTAGTACCCTACCACTGAGCTATTCCACTCCCTATACTAACCCTATTATATTACAAAAATAGTTACCCTAAATGCACAATTTTCTCATTTCCAAGAATGCAAATTCAACAAATTACTTAGTGATTTAAATTTTATAAAATCTTCTGTTCACGATAAAATGATGATTTGCTTATCTCAGTGGCAGGCTAAAGAAGAATAATGATGTTTTAACTTGTCAAATTTTTATGCAATGTTTTCCATCTTGAATTATTATATGTTTAAAGCTATTAAGTCCCCTTTTTCACTACACACAATTAATATTAGGAAGATTTTGTTAATGATAATCTAACAGTTTATTAACAACTAACTATAAAAACATTTAAAAAGAAATTAAATAGATAAAGTAGAGTACAACTAGGTGAAAAAATTATATATGTTCCTGTAATTGTTAAATATTCAGAAATTTTTAAAATTGAAGTTAATAAAAAAATAAACAAAGTCATGACTAATTCAGTGGTTTCGCTTGAAGATATGGTACAAATAAATTTTAAAAAGACAAGAGATGCTCTAATTTAATAGAGGATTTCTGTGCAACTGAGTAATAAAATATCGTTCATATTAGATTTTAAACTGAAAAAATAAAAAATTAGTTTACAATCTGAGAAGTCTATATCTCTAGGGAAATGTAGAAGAAAACTAGAAGATGTAAGAGAATCTAGGAAACGTGGCATCAGTTGTAAAATAATGAAGCAATTAAGGCCAAACCATTGAATCTTTCTGGTTTTAATATTTTGTACAAATTTTTTTTTCTGCTTTATATATTTTTCTAATAATACTATTAGATATATTGTGACATAGTGAGATGACACAATTTCTTCTTAGAAAATATATCTTTAAAGCTAGGGGCTATTGTGTTAATAGGATGATTTTCATAAACGTTATCCCACTCAACCATCCGGCTCCTTACTAATTTTACTCTACATCTTTCTCCACACCTGTGATAAATAAGCTTTTAACTCTGGCATTAATTTCCTGCCCTCATCCCCTGGCCTAGGAAAATCCTATATAGCCTCCTAAAAGGCGAGGAAGGGGAGAACAAAAATAACAGATAAATAAACGAAAAATTATACATTAAACTTTTACAAACTGTACCTAAGATAATCCCACAACCAGCATGCTGGTCCAAGAGCTATTTCTTCTTCAGGTGTGTGATACTGCCATGTAATTGGGAAAGATAAGGATGCAGAGGACAGTTCTACAGACATAAAAACATCAACTTTGACCTGAGGATAAGCTTGAGATTCAACAGAGGACATGTAACATCGAGAACGAGTTGAATTGCGATAGCTAGATACATCATCTAAGTCTACTGTAGCTGCTGCAACTTCCTGAAAAAAATATATAATAATATTAAATCAAGAGTGATAATATTAAAAAACTACACCTAAGATTAACTGTCTTACTATAAAATAAATGCCTATCTGATTTTTATTTAAAGAAAAGGATTTTAATAACTATTGTTTTGCAGATTAAAATAATCTAGTTGAGTAAATTAATCATGCTAGAGCAGCTCGAAATTGTTAAGGGGCAAGGTAACAACTATATAATACTTTTTGTTTAGTATCAAATTTTATAATGATAATTAATAGGGTCAATGTTAAAAAAGTTGAAGATAGAATAAATAAAAACGGTGTTTAATATCAAATATAATGCATTAATTCATTATATAAAATTTTAAAGAATATAAATATAGTAGCAATATAAATATTGATCTAACATTAAGTTTGATAAAAAATAAACAGACTATGACACTTACAAAAAAACAGTTATTATATTTTTAAGCATGAATTGAAGCTTTTAGTTTTAATTTTTTGTTTTGGTTATTTTCTAATTATTTTTTCAATTTTCACATACCAAAATTAAAAATGTAAACTGAACATCTCTACATATAATATGCAAATTCATATGGAGATTGTACAAATTAGCTAATAAACTCTTAGCATGGTTATTGTACAAGAGAAAAAAAAATTAAACAGATAAAAATCATCTTACAACATCTAGTAGGGAAAATTGTTGTGTCTTAGCTAATATTTGACCATTCAATGCAATGCAAGAACAACCATTAAAATAGACACGACCTCCATCACAACCACGAAGATTGTTAAAAAGATAGCAGCCTCCAGCCTAAGCAAGAAAAATGAATAATCAAATTAAATCATAAATACTTTATTGTAATTCTTTAATAAATAAATTGAGAAATAAATTAAAATATTACTTTGAAGGTAGCAGACTTCACTAATTCCACAGTGACATAAGCTTTTCTTAGTTCCATATAGGATCCTGAACTATTCACAATAATTTCTACACCATCAAAAGATAGAGGTATGTGTGAACTATATAGAAGAAAAATAAAAATATTATCAATATTATCAAAAATATAAATATTATCAAAAATATTTAAAAATAAAACACTTAAATTACTTAAATACAAATACCTCTGAGGATTCCAGAGCTCCTCACATATTTCAAAGCCAATAGATGTGTCTTGGGTTGCAATCACTCCATCCCCAATGACAGTTGTTGATTGTCCAGTGGAATTAGTGATAAATTGTGGTAAACGAAATTCCTCAATTTGTTTTATCTGAAGGTTAATAATTTATATTACAAAATAAAAGAATAGGATTATAAATAAATTAAAATTACAATAATTCATATAACATTTATTTCCAAATTAAGTTCAAGTACTTATTTTTTCAGGAATAAGAGGAAGAGTGCCTGTCAGACTAAGATTTTTACCCTAAGTTGATTATGTTTCTGTCAAAAAAATTTTAGTTGGCCATTCCAGGACAAAACCAGGCCCTTTGACAAAGGCAGCCATTGATAAATAAATAAAAGGTTTAACAAATATGAAGCTTATGATGTTACACTTTTTGAAGATATTGATAGCACGCATAACTGGTTACAAAAATCTCGCCCCTCCACTAGCAACAATCAAAACCTAATTACATTAGATCTAATTTAACACAAGCCTTTGTCTTTGTCTACATTTCAGACATTTACCCATTAGGCTGGTCATAGTTAACTTTTTTATGACTTGTTCGTTGGTAGGCCATATAAATTTCTTAATCTATTTAAGCTCCTGAAATGCTATGGAGTAAATACTCGGCAGTTTAGTGTTATTCACTACCCTAAATTTCCAATTTTGGAATCTGACATGTCATTCTTTGGGCCAATTAAATAAGGATGGATAAAAATTTAGCAAACTTAAATAAAAATATAATTTACCTTTCTCCATGAAGAAAACCATCGAGATTCTCTATAATTTCCATCATCACATAGTAGGGTTTTTGGACGTATGAGTAGAATATTTCTTTAAAAAAATATAATAACTTAATAATCAAAATTAATCAGCATGTTTTATGTTGTATATAGAATTTAAAACTTGCAAAAACCTACTTGTTATAAAAAACTACCCTACAGTTATAAGTACAACTTCGATGAACTACAGGCATCCCAACATCAACTATAATATCTTGACTAATGGGTGAATTTAAAATAGCTAAAAGCACTTCCCAAGAATGTGTAACTGTGTCAGACTCCAGAAAATGATCTTCACAAGTGTATCCACTAGAAAATAAATTGTACATAATTAAAATATCTGGAAGTGCCATGATACCCAATAATGAAAATTATTAATATGAAATAATATAAATACTGTGAAGCAGTATTTAGTTTTATGAATCAGGTATTACCAAGACAATACTATTTGAATTAGGATTGTAAATACAAGAATAAAGAAAATACTTACGGAATCTCAAGTTCTGGACCTCCTCTGTATCTTGCTCCAGCTGCCTTTGCACTTTGGATACTTTGTAAAATTCGGTTCATGTTACCTTCAAAATCCATAGCCCACTGGTTGAGGGTACAAACAGCTACAGTAGTTTTCCTCACCATCCTGAAATAATTAAATTAAAATTTTTCCCTGTGAATAAAAAAACAGCATTGTTATAATAATTGAAAATAAAAACAGGACAAGAGCAGTTTAATTTTTAAAAAATTGAAACAAATATTTAAAGCAAAACCATTAAAAAATTAGTTATTCCATATCACTAGTTACATCTATCTGATTTGTTTATAGGGAGAGATTCCTTATTTACTAGTTATAAATGCTGAATAGTTAAAAATTTAGCATTAGAAGTAAACAAATATATCTCATTTGTTAATAAGATTTAACAACTTACTTGAAAAGTTTATATATAAAAAATTATTTAAAACAACACTTAAAAAATACAGAAATCACAACCATTGATCAAACACTATCTCAATAATCACCAAGGAAAACGTTTTATCAGAGGTTCATTTGAATTTCGGTGTTATCTTAAGAGTAGGTTACAATACAATCTGTTGGTTCCTAATTTATAGATTCTGTGGAATAAATTTAAATTTGTATACTTTAATAAAACTTCTTGATTTTTTTTATGTTTCTGTTTATTTAATAACTTAAAAAGGATTCTGTAATTACTTACAGAATGATTAGATGAAGTTTTGATTATAACTTGGAAATTTTCTGTAAGATTGAATTCACCATAGTTTCTTAATTACTAGGTATTTACCAAATAATGTGAATATTGCACTTTCTTCGCAGTTAGAAAAGTGAAAATCAAAAATATTTCTTTGTACAGCTTTAGTGAAATAATTCAGTTCTGAAACAGAATGTCATCTAGATGGTATGTTCATATATATTTTCTTGAAATAAACACCTTAGACAATAATTATTTACTAACAAAATTTATATTCTCTTTTTCCATTTTGTTTTTACTTAAATTATCAACATGTCTATCTTATTCAGTCTAAGAAAATAAAGGTTCAAGCTCTTTTCTAGAAATACAGTGTTTAAAAATTAAATTTTTTAAAGAGGGTGGAAAATCATTAGGATATGCAGTCTTTTTATGGACTACCCTGATCATTTTCCTCGATCATAATTTTAATAGGCTACTATATATCCTTCTCAAAAATTTTGATCTTAACGTTTAATTTAGATATAAACTACAGTTCAATTGAGTATAATAGGGTTAGTTTATTTTAAAATAATTCATACTATTAACAGTGAAGGAACCATAGCATACTCATATAAAAACAATTCTACTTTAATTTTTGTAATGAGGAAAATTTTCAAACCGATTTGAATTTTATAATAAAATAAATGCAAAAAATAACATTTGTCCAGATAATTGACGCTGTACAATACTTGTCTAGCTTTTGATTAGTTACAAGTATGTAATAGTCCTGCATAGGTCTGTTTTTACTTTTGGAATTCTTATCAAAATCTTGCAACAGTTATCATAGTTAAAGTAATATTTGATTATGTAAAAAAATGTGCTTTATTTTTATATAAAGTGTAAATTACTATAATTTAAATAGATTATCACAATTCACATCCATCCACTGTGCTCAATTTAAAGATAGTTTTATATTTATGATTCAAAGTCAGAATTTATTTTTATTTTTCTACCCGATTTAAATTTAAATGTTAATAAACCAAATCTGCAAATCTAATGGGATTTCTCAGAGATTAAATGTCTAAACAAATAATAATCATTTTTCATAATGTTTCTCCCCTCAATGGATGTTGTATAACAGCTGATAAATCTATCAGAAAGCATCAATAGTTCGATCACGTTTAGTTGACATCGTAATAGCAAACTCATATAGCACTTCATTGAAACTGATACAACATTTTGTTTTTATCCTTAACCTCTGCTTTTGCCTACAAAATACAAATATATGTATATAGGGAGGATAGCCAAATGGCCTAAGACACTTGCAAAAGTCAATTAACGTTAATCAATTTCAAATCAATGGTTAGTACGTGGATGGGTGGCCACTGGAGAAAGTCACACTATCTGAAATCCTAGCTACTCTTTCGTATGTGAGGCCCGACAGACAGCCTGCTTTATTCAACCTGGTGTAGGAGTACTCCTTGTACTTTAATTGGGAATCATGAAGGGTTTTTCAGGATTTCAATAGTCCAGAGGTTTGGTCCATAGACAATTCATTTCAGGGAAAGAAATTATAGGTCCTTATATTTCGGCTCTGCTTACTGCAAGCAGCCATCATTTACGAATCATGATCGATTTCTCTGTCCTTCAATATGAGCAAGTCGATGGGATAGACACTGCCAGATTAGCCCTATATGGATCAGCTAAGGAGCTATCGGTGGCCTGCCGCTGCACCATGGAGTTTATGGTCCGTAATGACATGAGGTTGGATGACCTCTTTCTGGCTATCAATGCTACACAAGCAATATGTCTATTAGAAGATCACATTACACAGCCAAAGATCTATATAAATAATTTGAGTGTAATATAGGAGATCTAGGAAAATAACAAAATGCTATATTAAAGATATTGTCATTATTTAGCAGCTATTTATGTTAATGGGGTCATTGAAATAAAAAATAATTTTATTCTGGGACTACAGTCCCTTAAGGATAATAACAGAGTTTCATAATTATGAACATTAGTCTGGCAATGTGGTAGTTTTCAGAAGTTGAAAGTTTCAGTCTAATAAATAAAAAAAATCATTAAATTAAATTTTTTCCCTGGTCCAAATCCAGATAATGCTTTAATATTTCTAGATAGTTTCATACTGAACTTTATTGAATGTCAACTGATCTGTCATCTGTCAACTTATTTCTTCAAATGTTGTATCTAGAATTATAAATTTGTAGCCTCCTAAAAGACCCCAAGCATTGTAGAGAATTAATTGTTTATATTTATAAATTTAATTAGTAGTTTAGAATACTGTTAATATACTATTTATTTTTGGTGTTTAATGAACTTCGGTTACATTTTTAGGTATCCTATTTATCAAAAAGGAAATCCACAATTGAGGGTTTTTTTGCCCAATTTTTGGATGAAGATGGTGCGACCCCAGTACAAGCAGCCTCCTAACATTGTACAGTTTATAACATCAATTCAGATGACAGATCATGATATTAAAAATTATTTAGAAAAAATATATAAAATACCAGTTGCTCATATTCGCTCTGAAATTGTTGAAGGTATGTAATTACCACATTTCTTCTTTTCTGATGCATGCTAGTTAATATATGAATATTAACATAGATTAAATGAACTGATTGTTATAGTAATTTTACAAAAAAAAAAGACCTTTTTCTGTATATTCCATTTATTTTTCACTTTTGCGCTTTAGCCACTTTTTCACTTTTTATAAATAGAATATACAGAAAGACAACTTCTTTTTTTGTAAAATTAAATTTCAATCCTGTAACATCAAGCCACAATTAAAGAATGATTGTAATAGTTTTTATCCGATAGGGAGGAATAATAAAAGAATGTAAATAATTATTATAAATATACTATTTTAGGTATGTACAGTGGACACTAGCTATATTGATTGCAGACATGCATTTGGATATAATGTGTGTCTAGCTCTCACTCGATGTCTTAAAATGAGACAATATTATTTTAAATATTTTTGTTTACACTCAATATGAAACAAAAAATAATTGAAGGAACTAAATACATTGGTGATATACTTGTAGTTTCATTCTTATTGTTTTCACATTTTTTGTGAAATTCACATCTTCCTAGCACTTCTTTATCTATCAATAAACAAAGTAACTGATGTACAATATACTTTCTTTTACAAAGCTTCTTTTGTTTTATTGGATCTAAATATAGTTCATCTAATTGTTTATATTTTGTTAACCCCTTAGTGTGGGTGGCTTATAAACTTTTGTCCCTCGTTACAGCAAAGATATGCTGTAATTCAATTATAATAAAATAAAGTTGAATAGAATCACATCTTTAAATATATCATTCACAGTATATTTTCATATTTCTATTTGGATTTCAGTGTTACGTCCCTTTTTTTTAAGCCAATTCTACCTACCTTTCAAACTCCCAAAGCCAGATTTCTAAACTTTTCGGTAGGTTTTTACATTTTGCAATCACCATTAATTCTCAATCTTAAAGGGAATTCACAAGGTCAGAGAGTTGATATTACTCACTTGTCTGTTTCCAACAATTTATGTAGTTAGTAATTATTTTTGACAACATATTAATTTTCATTTTCTTGTACTTAATACCAATTTGAATCTAAGTGCAGTGTTATTTAGGTGTTTGATAATTTTTTTTTTTTTTTTTCTATTTCTACCCACTACGATTGGGGATCAAATGTTCGTTTTCTTGATGATGAAAAATGTGTTTCTTTTTTTTTACTGTAAATTTTATTTGATTCTTTATGTGAATGATTTTGTTTGATTGAGTTTGTCAAGTTTTGTTGTCATACTCTATTTATTGTTTAAGTGATAAGATGATTTTGATAAATTAAAAAAAAAAATATTTAATTTAAATTTGTTTACTAAACTCTGGGGTATGGTTTTGTTTATTTCACCATTACTGCATATATTTATAAAATAAAAATATTGATTTCATTTATGGATAATCAACATGCAGTTATTGGGTTGTCCGGAAAATAATGCAGGATTTTGGTTTAAAATGAAAAAAAAAAAAAAAAAAAAAAGAAAGATATAGAACTGTTTTATTTAATCAAAATAGTCTCCACTACTATCAATACATTTCTGCCAGCGTGCTGCCAACTTTTCTATTCCATCGGAATAGAATTTCCCATCTTTAGAATTGATAAACTCCAAAAATGCATTTTCTAATTCCCTTTGTCCATTAAATTTTTTGTCACCTAAGTAGAGGTCCAGATATGGAAAAAAAAAGATAATCCATAGGCGAGAAGTCCGGAGAGTAGGGTGGATGTTATGGTAGAGTTTCATATCCAAGCTCCAACAGTTTTTGTGACGTCACACGTGAGACATGTGGCCGGGGGTTGTCATGCAACAAAATGGGCCTCTTCAGATTGACCAAAAATGGCTTCATTATTGTCAATTTCTGATGCATTGCATTAATTTGGTTACAATACGATTCAGCATTGATGGTTTCTCCAGAATTTAAGAAGCTGTAGTATATACAAACCAAATGAAGCCCACCAAACAGTAACCATAAACTTTTTTTGATAAGTTGGAGACTATGAAAATTATTCTGCTGCTTCTCCTTTGTCGATCCACTGTCCAGAATGCCTACTGTTATCATAAAGTATCTAATTTTCATCACAGGTAACAATTCTGTACAGAAAAGGGTCGGTTTTGTTTCGGCAAAGAAGTATAGGACAAACTTCATAATGCTGGTTTTTTTGGTGGTCGTTTAATATGTGTGGAATCCAACTTTCAAGTTTTTTTATCTTTCCAATCTCCTTAAGGTAGTCATCCACAGTCGATTTGCTAAGGTTAAGTTTCCCTGCAAGTTCTCGAACAGTTGTTCTGTGGTTTTCTTCCACCAATTCCCGCAGAACATCATTATCAAAAGAGGAAGTTCTTCCACGACCTTCTTTGTCTTCAAGGCTGAATTCTCCCTCCTGGAATTTTTGAACCACCATTGAACAGTGCACTCATTAATGCTGCTCTTGCCCCAGACTTGATTGATGTTTCTGCCTGTCTGGGCCTCATTCTGGCCGAATTTAAACTTGTAAAACAAAATTATACGAAAATCATGTGTTGACATGTTAGTAAAGACTGAATTATTTCTAAGCAGCAAAATGCTAAAGAGGTAAACAAACATTATCATTTGGAAGAGGATTAATATGTGTTGACATTCATACACATGAATAATTCAGTAAACGTAAACGGTTTGTTATATAGAGGGGTATTTTAAAGAAAACTCAAAACCTTGCATTATTTTCCAGACAACCTAATAATTGGGAGTTGACTAATTTTTTATGCAATAAAAATATGAAATTGATAATATCTTTGCGGGCGGGCTAAATTGAATGTATTGTGATTATTCCATTTGCATTGGTGCCATCTTGAAACTGCTTTTTTTTTCTTGATTATCTGTAGTAAGATCAGTTAATTGCCTGTAGTTTCTTCTTAGACAAATTCAAATAATTTTCCTTTCTTTATTAAACTGCTAAATTAATTGGTGTAATAACTGCTAAGATTCTCAACTATCAAAACTATAGGTTATTGTAAACAAAATAAATATGTTAGAAATACACCGTAACATTAAGCATCAGCAGTTTTCATTAATTTTTTATTTATTAGTAATCATAATTTATAACAAATATTTTATTTATAAGATTTTATACTTTGAAACTACATAACGTTGGTTTATTGCAAATAATCAGCAAGTACACTTACTTAGATGGACTTGAACCTAAAGTGCCTTGTTGTGAGTTTCAGACATATTTGCTGATAAGTGCATTAAAATACCATAAGATAGGATAACTTTGAGGCTGGGTGGGTAACTTTCGGACAGCAGGTAAAATTAGTTTCTGATGATTCTGTGGTGGATACTCTGTGTTGGTCCAGTCTGTAAAAACTTGCTTTGTGTAGTCATGTACAGCAATATTTCCTTGTGGCAGTGTGAGAACTTTTGTTCACTATGCTCGTTGTGCAGTTAGGTTTTATTTATTTCCATTGTTTTTTTTTTCTTTTTTCAAAATTCTTGTTTTCATGAAAGTTTAGCTTGTGCCACAAGGTAGCAGCGCAGTACATGCCTCTAGACAAAGCATGCTTTTGCAGACTGAACCAACAGTGTATCCACCATGGAATCACCACAAGCTAAATTTTACCTGCTGTCCCAAACTTACCAACCCAGTCCCTAAGTTACTCCACCTTATGGTAATACAAAACCTACTAAATGTCAAGTATAGTTTCACTTAGTGCACATTGTTGTGATGTTACTGGCTAAAAAATTTTCATGTAGCTTAGTGATTTAATTTATTAAAATGTTACTTAATGGCTTTATGCAGTAAATTGACAATGTGTAGCTTCTTCATATAGAAAAAGGATTTTTTGATGGATTAATTGATATGAAAAATATTTATTCAAAGTTTCCAAATATCTTTTCTATTATTTTCTTACACATTATGTTTCTAATATAATGCAGGAGAACTGAAAAGGGTACAGAGGAAAGGATATGTGGTTAAAGGTGATGATTTTAGAAGAGCTTTTGTAACTTTAGTGAGTATTGCTTAACATTTTCACTATCTTATTATGAATATAAAAATTATTAATTAGTGAAAGCAAAAAATTACTAAAAGAAATCAAAACTATTAATACTTTAATATTTTATGACTCCAAAACAAATTATTGAGTCTTTCAAAGAACTCTTATATCTATTTGAGAATTTTATGATTTGTTTTAGAATCTTGCAATAATAATCTTGTAAAATTATATTGTATGCTTTAGAATTTAATACTTTTTCAAATATGTGGATTATAAATAGAATTATCTTTTCTCTTGATTTTTTTCATTATTTATTTTAAGTTATACAAAATATGATAATATTTATGGAACTATAGCAGCTTTATCTATCCATTTGATTTTTGGCATTCCTCAAGGTTTTTTTATGAATTAATTAGTCTTCTATTGAGGCATTAATTGTTGTGTAGAGACTTCCAGATTGATTGCTCCGAGCTGCATGAGTTAGTGAGTCTTATGGTATTTTTTTCTGGCTATATAGTGGTTACTGCCCCATACTAATCAGTGTTGTGTCATGCTTATAGGACCATACAATACGACTACAATTTGCTTGATTATCAAGACCTCTTTTAGATATGTTTTTATATGCACCAGGTGTGTAAAATTGGAAACTCTGGAATTTTTATGTTTAAAATAGATGTGTAAATAAGACATTTATTGCATATAAATGTTTAAAATTACTTTATTTGAAATATTGTGCATCCCTAGGTATATATTTTTCCTGTAACTCTTTGGAAATTTATGAATACCAGAAAAACGGTTGCCCTTTTGCAGCGTACCAGTCATCAAGCGATAATCTACTTTTTCATAAGGAGTGAAGTGCTGCTGAGCAAGTGCGTATCTAATTGATGAAAATAAATAGTAAATCAATGAGCAAGAATAAATGAGTAAATAAATAGCAAAAAATATCTATTCCAAATATTCTTCTACATATGGTTGTTGATGAAAATAATGATGAAGGAATATGCATTGCATGAGGTATGTTGTACATCTGTAAAGTAACAGACCAGAAAAATGATGGAAAAAAAATTGATATTTTTTTATTGATCTCAAATGGTTTGGAAGGAAAGATGAAATCATGTTAACAATTATTAAATTTGTCTGGTTAATGCTTTCCAGTCACAAAATATAAAGAATATTGATTATACAAACATTCTTTCGGCCATATGGATCGACTATGAATAGTGATAGTCCCAGTTCCACTGATGGTGTTGCACAGAGTACGGGCGTTAGTGTGAGGCTATTGTCCCTTGGCACCGGCTGATCTTCAGAGGTGCTCGCCACTTGTTAGAAATTAAAAAAACCTATTAAAATAATTAATTTTAGCTTATCAGTAAAGCAGTTGCAATTAGAGAAATGTTGATTGAAATAAAATTCATATTTAACATAAAATAAAACAGCTTAATAAATAAATTTAATTTTTTGGGGGGGAAGGAGGGAAAGGGGAGATCATATCACTGCTCGGGTGTGCCAAATGTTTAACGCTGGCATTTATGACACAGATGAAAAGCTCAAAAAATGAATGTGGTTAATCTGTTGAATATGAGGTAGAAGAAAATTCTGAATCAAATTATTATAGTCATAATGTATTCAATGATTTAACTGATAATCTGACAAAAGTTGCTCATGCGATTGCATGAGTCTAGACCTAAAGCAAAAAATCTATCTAGAGATGGGATACAATCATGGAAGAAAAGTTTCAACCCACTCCAAAGAAAAAAGAAGCAATGAAAAAACTTTAAAGCAATGAAAATTAGAGGAGAGAAGTTAATTTATCTTATCACCATTTTTTAAGTGTTTATATTTCATTTGCTACTTTGATGCAATGATTTTTTTTTTTTTGTGCAAAGAGTTGAACCTTTAAATCAAACTAAAAAAATTATTTTCCTTTAAAAAATTTAATAGAGATTTGAATAAAAAATGCTTATATGATACAGAGAAAAACTAAAATCAGGTTTGAAATAATCATAACAAATATTTTAAATACCACCTTACAGTTGTAAAACATTGTTCCAAAAGATTTATAATGTTGCATAGTGTAATTATGCATACTATAACTATATAAGCTCTAAAATATCAAATGAATTTGATGTTAATTGCTTTTTAGATCGATGTATTGATTAATTTATTTTATTTGACTCTATTCATTTTTTTTTTCTAGGCGGGAGATGAAAAATTTGAATTTCCTGATGTGACATCTAAAAAGAGTGAACAGGAAGAGAGTGATTATAAAAAACTGCAAACTCAAAGTGAAGAAAGTTATAAAAAATACAAAGATAGAAATAAAAATCATTCTAATCTTCCAGGATGGTTTTCAGTGTGAATATCTTTGAAAACATAACTCATTTTATTTTGTATAGTAAATAAATTAATTTGTCACTAGCTTTGTTTTAATAAGTTGTGTTTAAATATACTTTCCCCTGTTGATCTTTTATTATTATTATTATTAATATATAAACAGCAAAAGGTATCAAATGTGTGAAATATTATAGTCTCTATGAAGAATTTTGAACTTCTCAGAAAAATGAGCTAATAGCTTTTTGTGTCTGAAGAAAGAAAAAATATACTCCTTTTCCATTTCAGCTATATTGTTTCAATAGATCTACAATATTTCTCTAATCCAATTATGTTTCAATTCATAATTTAATGACATTAATGTGAGTACTCAAGTCCAAATATATGTTGTTAGAAGTATTATTATTATTAACTCATTATTTTATATGTCTGTCTTGTTTTGTTATTTTCTATTTGATCTTCAATTATATTACAATAGTGTCTCTGAAAATTAATTCTAACAGTAAGTTTGCCTATAATTCTATTTAGTTCAAAGAATCACTTATTTTTTCATGTTAATCAGTGGAAGTTAGTGTTGAAAAATCTTGAATAAATATATTAATATTTGCAGGTGTAAAAAACTTCAATGCAAGTCTTGGGCAAATGTATAAATATATATAGGCCAATAAAATTCAAACATTATGGTGATTCGTTACCATCATCTAACTTTTATGGGTTTTTTAGTTAGTTGTTAACAGATTGAAAGGACCCCCCAAAAAATGGAAAACATATTTTTTTTATTGGTCTTTGGTTTGTTAGTATGAGTGATCTAAGCTCAATACTTAAACAATAACAATATATTATATTTTTAAAAATTAAAATACATATATATATATATATAAGTTAAGCGTCGGCGGACTCTAACAATAAAAAAAAAGAAAGGAAAGGGCTTGAAATGCAACACTCACGGTTTCAGAAAAGATACTGATTTATTCCTTTAGTAATCCTCCTTATATACATTTCATATGTTTATTTACATTCAGGACGGTATTAAGGCTGATATCGCCGGTCTCCGGTCTTTATCTCCCCCCCACCAGTTTACGAATAGGATTTTTCGGAAACTTAGATATTCCTAGATCGGAGCTAACGATTATCAGTCTTAACACCTTACAATTGTTTTTACAAGTATAAAGTTGAAAGAAAGTAAAACTCACTCGAGACATACAATAATACAAAGAAATAAAAAAAAACAGAACTAAACACAACACTTGCTTCCAAAAACAGAACTCTTAAAATCCTAAAAAAAAACAGAGAAGAAAAAAAAAATAATACACTTTCCTCTACTGTATTGCTATGATTCTATTTACACATAAAAAAAAATACACCATATTTTTGCTTAGACAACCAAAAAAAAACATATTTGTTATAACGTGGTGAGGGTACTACGAATCCGTTAGTTTATGTTCCGGTTCTATCATTGGGAGCTTCAATTGTTCAATGTGAACCGTTCTCCTCTTTCTAGGTTCATTAACGCTTTCGATCGTTAGTAGATTATGCTCCCTAATAGCAATCACTCTGAATGGACCCTCGTATCGTAACAATTGTTTCCCTCTGTTGGTCCCTACTCTACGGTACACTATTGTCCCGATCTTTAGATCACCCATTTGGTCACGTACGCGAACATTCTGCCTCTCTACCCGCTTCTCCTTTTCCCGCTTAATTTTCGCCGTTACTCTTCCCCACGTCTTTTCCATCTCCACCCTATTGCTCTGGATTTGCTCGACTAATGGTTCATTAACCGTTGTTTCCCCGCAATCTCGCCTTGGCCTGCGCATCCCGAATAGTACTTCCACGGGCGAAAATCCCGTGACGGAGTGAATCGAGTGGTTGTAGGCTGTTACCGCTTTCTTCATTGCAACATCCGGCTCCAACCCTTTTTCCCCCTGATACACCCGGATGTGATCACTCAGCGTGCTGTGCAACCGCTCAATGCCGCCTCTACCCTTAGGATGTCCCGGGGTGTTATAATGCCAACGAATCCCTAGTCGTTTCACCTCCTCCCTAATCGCGGCATTGTCAAACTCCCTACCACCGTCCGATGTGATCCTCTCGGGGACCCCGTAGAACTGCACCCAGGTTTGTAGGGCTTCCGCAACTGCGTTGGCAGACTTGTCCATGACCTGGTGTGCCATAGCTACCTTGCTAAAGACGTCGATGACCGTGACCCACTTGAACCCTCTCCAGGTAAATGTATCAATCTGGAGGTCCTGTAGTGGCATATTCCCCGTCGGTGTCTCTTCCTGAATCCCTCTGGGGGGGTGTCGATCATATTTCGTGCGCATACACACCTCGCATTTCCCTATGACCTCTTGGATGGATTTTTTCATGCCCCACCAGAAATACTTTCGACGTAATGCCTGCAGTGTCTCGTTCACGCCTCGGTGGTTGGTTTTCCCCTGGTGATAAGCTAATGTGACTGCCTGTTGCTGTTCCTCATCCTGTATAGTTTCCACTGCGTACTTACAACGGATGAGTGTTCTGTCCACACCAATTCGCTCGGATCTCCACATCCGCTTTATTTTATCCCATACCGTGTTATTCCCCACATAAAGATGGTGCGTCTTTCCAGGTTCCGTGGCGTCCTTCAGTGCCGTACAAATTTGCTCTTCACTCACCCCGGGTTGCGACCAGATGACGCGAATCTTGCTTTTCCCATATCTTCGATAATCTATTTTCATCATCCCTGCTACTCTCGTTTTCCAGATTACCTGACGATGCTTGTCATTGATGATGTCGTCTATCTCCTCCATTTCCACTGCTCTTTCCTCCGCTGAGCTCTCCTCTTCCGGGGACTCTCCCCTGTCATCTATACCGACGATATCCTCCGCTCCTTCGCCGTCGGGAGTCCATTCACTCAAGAATTGGCGCACGTCTCGCGATGGTCCTCCCCCGTCCTCTTCTACCGCGTTGATCATGATGGCCCTCGAGAGCCAGTCCGCCACCACGTTCTCCTTTCCCGGCTTATACACCACCTCTATATTGTATTGACTAAGGACTTCCTTCCATCGCGTGACCCTAGCTGAGGTTTCTTTAAGTTTCCCTACCCACTGCAGGGGTTTGTGGTCGGTGTGGACTCGAAACTTCCTCCCAAATACGTATGGCCTGAAATGGTCGATAGCCCACACTATCGCGAGTAGCTCCCTCTCCAAAGCGCTGTATCGCGATTCCGCACCCGTAAGCCGACGGCTCGCGTATGCTATCGGTCGTTCACCCTCACTCCCCCCCTGGGACAAAACGGCCCCTAACGCGTATTCGCTCGCATCGGTGGTTATATTAAAGAGCTTCTCAAAATCCGGGAACGCTAACACCGGCTCTGTCAGCAACCTATTCATACATTTTCGGATATTATTCTCCATCTCTGGTGTCACCACAATCTTCGCGCCTTTCTTCAGCAAATTGTTAATGGGTACCAAATACTCTGCCATCTCAGGTACGAATCTCCGGTAGTAGTTCAGCGTCCCAAGAAGCCTACGGATCCCCTTCACGTCCCGTGGTACCGCCATCCTTGTGATCGCCTCCACCTTTGCCGCATCCGGTCTGACCCCCTCGCTAGAGATAGTGTGGCCTAAAAAATTAATCCGCGTTTGTCCCAGCAGAGACTTCTCGCTTGATAATTTCAGCCCGAATTTCCGGAGCCTCTCGAATACTGACCTCAGATGTCCCACGTGTTCGGTTTCCGTTCTGCTAAAAATCAGCAGGTCATCCATATATACCTGACATACCGAGTCATCGATACCCCTCAAAAATTCGTCCATCAGACGCTGAAATGTTATGGGCGCATTCTTCAGACCAAACGGCATTCTTGTGAATTCATAATGCCCCCTTTCGAATGTGAACGCTGTTTTGTGTTGGTCTTCCGGGTGCATCCGTATTTGGTGATATCCCGCCTTAAGGTCCAACGTGCTAAAGACCACGGCTCCACTCAACCTATCCAGTATATCTTCGAATCTGGGGATCGGGTACTTCTCGTCTACCGTGTTATCGTTCAATTTACGATAGTCTACTACCACCCTGTATTTTTCCTTATTATCCCCCGGTGCTGCCTTCTTCTTCACCGCCCACAGGGGACTATTGAATGGTGAGGTGCTATCAACTATGATCCCTTGTTCTTTTAGACTATCTAGCTCCTCTCGAATATGCTGCCTCAACGCCTGCGGGTATCTTCTCTCTTTCACGTAAGTTACCCTATCCTGCTTCAGTGGGATTTCATGCACCGTCCTCCCTGTTACCCCTAATACCTCACCTTCCCTGAAGAAAATGTCCCTAAACTCCTCCTGTAGCAACTTCCTCCAGTCCTCCACTCTGTTCACCGCCCCTATCCGCACCCTTCTTTCTCTCGCGACCCCTATACATCCGAACTTCTTCTTTCCCAACCTAACACTCCAGGCTCCTCTACGATTCCTAATGCTCGCCCCTACCTGCCCCAACAAATCGCACCCCACTATGACCTGGTATTCCCGAGTCATGTTTTTTACTACGTGTACCTTCAGTTCGCCCTCTTTTCCTGCCCACCGATCAAGTCTTATTGTCGCTTCCCCCTCTACGCTACAGGGGCCACCCAGAGTGATTAGTTGGCAATCGCATTTTTGGATCCGGAGTGCCCTCTCACTCCCGCACACTTTCCCTAACGCCCCTCTGGTCATAATAGTGCTCGAGCTCCCGGTATCCACGAGGCACTTTACTCCCCCGTCTACCTCGATAATTGGCAACCAGCATGGCTTACCTCGGATGTTGTTGCATGTTGCTGTGCGGTCGCCTCTCTGCTGCCACACTCCTCAGATGCCGCCCAGCTTCCTCCTCCCCGCCGCCGTTCGTCGCTGCTCGGTCCGTTGGCTGCTCCTGCCTCCTTCGCCTCCACTGCTACCTGGTTCGTCCGTCTCTGTCCCCGAAGTTCCCGACTCCTCGGTTGCCTCTCCCGAAGATCCGTCCTTCCGCTGTATCCTAGCCCGTCTTGTCAGCTTCTGCGTGTTTACTTCCATGGGCTCGTCT